AGTTTGGAGTGTGACTGTTTGAGGTTGTGGACAGGTGTCTTTTATACTGATAACAAGTTCAAACAGGTGCCATTAATACAGGTAACGAGTGGAGGACAGAGGAGCCTCTTAAAGAAGAATTTACAGGTCTGTGAGAGCCAGAAATCTTGCTTGTTTGTAGGTGACCAAATACTTATTTTCCACCATAATTTGCAAATAAATTCATTAAAAATCCTACAATGTGATTTTCTGGATTTCTTTTTCTCAATTTGTCTGTCATAGTTGACGTGTACCTATGATGAAAATTACAGGCCTCTCTCATCTTTTTAAGTGGGAGAACTTGCACAATTGGTGGCTGACTAAATACTTTTTTTCCCCACTGTATTGATGAATAGATTTGAAACTTGTATCCCTTTATGGTACAGTGGGGGGAAAAAAGTATTTAGTCAGCCACCAATTGTGCAAGTTCTCCCACTTAAAAAGATGAGAGAGGCCTGTAATTTTCATCATAGGTACACGTCAACTATGACAGACAAATTGAGAAAAAACTATCCAGAAAATCACATTGTAGGATTTTTTATGAATTTATTTGCAAATTATGGTGGAAAATAAGTATTTGGTCACCTACAAACAAGCAAGATTTCTGGCTCTCACAGACCTGTAACTTCTTCTTTAAGAGGCTCCTCTGTCCTTCACTCGTTACCTGTATTAATGGCACCTGTTTGAACTTGTTATCAGTATAAAAGACAACTGTCCACAACCTCAAACAGTCACACTCCAAACTCCACTATGGCCCAGACCAAAGAGCTGTCAAAGGACACCAGAAACAAAATTGTAGACCTGCACCAGGCTGGGAAGACTGAATCTGCAATAGGTAAGCAGCTTGGTTTGAAGAAATCAACTGTGGGAGCAATTATTAGGAAATGGAAGACATACAAGACCACTGATAATCTCCCTCGATCTGGGGCTCCACGCAAGATCTCACCCCGTGGGGTCAAAATGATCACAAGAACGGTGAGCAAAAATCCCAGAACCACACGGGGGGACCTAGTGAATGACCTGCAGAGAGCTGCGACCAAAGTAACAAAGCCTACCATCAGTAACACACCACGCCGCCAGGGACTCAAATCCTGCAGTGCCAGACGTGTCCCCCTGCTTAAGCCAGTACATGTCCAGGCCCGTCTGAAGTTTGCTAGAGTGCATTTTGATGATCCAGAAGAGGATTGGGAGAATGTCATATGGTCAGATGAAACCAAAATATAACTTTTTGGTAAAAACTCAACTTGTCGTGTTTGGAGGACAAAGAATGCTGAGTTGCATCCAAAGAACACCATACCTACTGTGAAGCATGGGGGTGGAAACATCATGCTTTGGGGCTGTTTTTCTGCAAAGGGACCAGGACGACTGATCCGTGTAAAGGAAAGAATGAATGGGGCCATGTATCGTGAGATTTTGAGTGAAAACCTCCTTCCATCAGCAAGGGCATTGAAGATGAAACGTGGCTGGGTCTTTCAGCATGACAATGATCCCAAACACACCGCCCGGGCAACGAAGGAGTGGCTTCGTAAGAAGCATTTCAAGGTCCTGGAGTGGCCTAGCCAGTCTCCAGATCTCAACCCCATAGAAAATCTTTCGAGGGAGTTGAAAGTCCGTGTTGCCCAGCGACAGCCCCAAAACATCACTGCTCTAAAGGAGATCTGCATGGAGGAATGGGCCAAAATACCAGCAACAGTGTGTGAAAACCTTGTGAAGACTTACAGAAAACGTTTGACCTGAGTCATTGCCAACAAAGGGTATATAACAAAGTATTGAGAAACTTTTGTTAATGACCAAATACTTATTTACCACCATAATTTGCAAATAAATTCATAAAAAATCCTACAATGTGATTTTCTGGAGAAAAAAAATCTCATTTTGTCTGTCATAGTTGACGTGTACCTATGATGAAAATTACAGGCCTCTCTCATCTTTTTAAGTGGGAGAACTTGCACAATTGGTGGCTGACTAAATACTTTTTTTCCCCACTGTGTATATATATATATATATATATATATATATATATATATATGCGAGAAAAAAAACTGGAAGTGATGCAGACAATTTACATTGATGGAAGTTACAATCTATCTGAAATATTAAAGCTAATAGCCCCTAAATATTTTTATAAAAAATATATTTTAAAAAAACGTTCAATTAATATGTATTGTAGTGAGATCATGTATTTCTTTTGGGATATGTATACCGAGTATGTCTACTTCACCGTCAGACCATTTTATTGGTAAACTACACAGTAATCTAAACGTTAAATTTTTTTGTGATCCAATATGTATATTTATCATAATTTGATTGTAATCCAGAGAGATTAGAAAAATGATCTAGATCCTCTATGAGGCTGTGAAGGGATCCAAATTGTGGATTTAAAATAAAACATGAATCATCAGCGTTCAATGACACCTTTGTTTTTAAGCCCTGGATTTCTAGGCCATTGATATTATTGTTGGATCTGATTTTAATAGTTAACATTTCGATGGCCATAATAAATAGATATGCCGATAGTGGACAACCTTGTTTCACTCCTCTTGACAGTTTATTACTTTCTGAGAAGTAGCCATTAATTACTATTTTACACCTAGGGTTACTATACATAACTTTAACCCATTGTATAAAAGATTCTCCAAAATTGAAGTATTCCATGCATTTATATATAAATTCCAGTCGTACTTTATCAAAAGCCTTTTCAAAGTTAGCTATGAATACCAGGCCTGGTTTCCCAGATTTTTCATAGTATTCTATTGTTTCCAGGTTTGGTTTGTGTATCAGACTGTGATTTACAGTGCCCCCCCCTCAGGACAGCAGTGTTGGTGGGCCGGAGAGGCAGATTAGGAGGAAAGACCAGGTTGAGTGGCTTATTACAGAACATGCCTGGCTTTGGAAGAAGGAGGGAAGGAAAGAGGGAGGGATAGATGGGGAGGGAATGGGCACAGTGAAGAGAAATGTTTGTGAGATCAGAGAGAGACATAAAATGCATTGAATTGTACTTAGAAGATCAGAGATGCCACTAGGGTCTCCTATAGGGTTTGATAGTAGTATGCAGACAGAGCCCCCTGTTAGTCATTCCTTATCATTCCATTCTAGTTAAGTGTACATCAGAATCGTGTCTAAAATCACAGATCTAAAAACGAATGCATCCCTGAAAGAGTCCATCATTAGAACAATCAAATATTTAATATTTTGGGCTTTTGAGTTTTTACTCATGAAGCCAGCTGATCTCAAATCCGTTTTGGCTGATGCTGCTCCATAGAGATTCATACTGAGTAGTAGTCTGGAGGTGTCAGTCTGCTCTGAAAAGATATGCTAGTGGATCAGATGGAGGGTGTGGTCGGCTGAGACAAGCTCGTAATGGAACAGCCCTCCGCTCACACTCACATCCAGATGGATGATGTCACTCAGCCAGAGACAGGGGCTCTGGGTCTTTAATCTTTCTGAGGTGAATCAGAGAGCACCACTATTCTCTCTCTCCCTCTCTGTGGTGTCTGGGGATTTATTGTTTGGATGCCAACATTCATCCAAGATTGCCTGAATCTACCACAGCCCAGAGTAAAGTGTAGCATCCACTGAATGTGGGCCTCAAACTACTGCTAAGATTAGTCTGTTTAGGCATGGCTCAACTGGATGCAAAGCAGGAGGTGAGCCTATTGACTATTGTATTATAAATATGTGGTTTGTCACTGTATCTTATGCGTTTAGATTAGTTGGAACATACTTGCATGCATCTGTCTTTAAAGTAGATATTCTGTACAGTAATTTGAATTAAAACAGAAATGGCAAAGATTTATTAATTAACCTGTCAGCATACTAATGGTATCTCATTTAGTTTTTTTCCCTGTTTTCATCATTTTCGACCTGCTATTATGCAGACATTAGATGAGGGGACTTTTCAAATCTCAAAGCACATCTTCAGACAGCTTAAGGCAAGAAGTTAACGAGTTGAATACATACATACAGTATAACAGAATTGTCTGATTGTAAACAGGACTTGCATAAAAGCATTAGCCTATTTTCCCCATTCTGGTATTTGAATTAATGGTAGGCCTATATACTGTAGATAATGTAACAATATGAGTGCCGTAACTAGTAATAGGCTATTCAAACATTGTGTCTGTAGTATGTGTATGTCTCTGTTGCTCTCCTATTCCATTGAGGTGTGTGTGTGTGTGTGTGTGTGTGTGTGTGTGTGTGTGTGTGTGTGTGTGTGTGTGTGTGTGTGTGTGTGTGTGTGTGTGTGTGTGTGTGTGTAACATTGGCACTGTTTCTGGGTGAACAGCCAAACTTCCTGACCACAGTTCCTGCGTCAGTGTTTATTTTTGTCATGTAATGACTGAGCAGGCCCAGCACACGATTCCAAGAGATAAGATTCCACATGAATGTACAATCAACAGTACAATCAAAGTATTGTTTATTAAGCTTTGTTGCAGCTTATTATCATTTACATTTACCTTTACATCATTTAGCAGACGCTCTTATCCAGAGCGACTTACAAATTGGTGCATTCAACTTATGATAGCCTGTGGGACAACCACTTTTTTTTTTTTTTTTTTTATGGAGGGGGGGGGGGGGGGGGGTAGAAGGATGACTTTATACTATTCCAGGTATTCCTTAAAGAGGTAGGGTTTCAAGTGTCTCCGGAAGGTGGTCAGTGACTCCGCTGTCGTGGGGGAGCTTGTTCCACCATTGGGGTGCCAGAGCAGCAAATAGCTTTGACTGGGCTGAGCGGGAACTCATCCATTGACATATTCAGACACTTGTGTTGTCCCTTTTCCCAAGAAGGAAATAATACTATTTTGTGGTTGTGTCCAATTGATGGCACTCAGTGGATGTACAACTAAATGCTGTATATTTTAATCTTGAATGGGAGCAAGCTTTGTCTCACGTGAGCCAGACCATAGCCTGCCGTATGTGTGTGTGGTCTCACCCTTGGTGACCCCAGTCCTTACCAATCTCCTCTCCTCTGGTCTCTTCAGCTCTGACGGCGGCGGCGGGCCGGGGGAAGATGGACGTGTGTGGCTTCCTGCTGGAGCAGGTGGCCATGGTGCAGCAGGTCAACCGCAGGGGGGTCTCACCTCTCTTCTGTGCTGTCAGGCAGGGACACTGGCAGGTGAGGAACATACACTGCTGGACAGAGATCATATTGCCTCAAACTACAATTACACATCAAAGTAACCATGATGATTTACCTTGAGGAAGTAGAGTTTAAGTCTGTGTGTGTGTCAGGTTGCAGAGCTGCTGCTGCAGCATGGTGCTGATGTGAACATCAGTGACAAACAGGGACGAACACTACTCATGGTGGCGGCGTGCGAGGGCCACCTGAGCACGGCCGACTTTCTGCTGTCAAAGGGTAAGTTACCGCGATGCTACGCTAGATAACGTCTGTGTCAGTGGAGGCTGCTGAGAGGAGGACAGCTCATAATAATCGCTGGAATAAAAGCAAATGGAATGGCATCAAACACATGGAAACCATGTGTTTGATGTATTTGATACCGCCTATTCCGCTCCAGCCATTACCAGGAGCCCGTTCTCCCCAATTAAGGTGCCACCAACCTCCTGTGGTCTGTGTCCCAAATGGCACCCTACTTTTTACCAGGGCTCATAAGACTCTCAAAAGTAGTGCACTATATAGGAAATAGGGTGCCATCTGAGATGCAGACCGTGTCAGCGATCTGAATACAAACCATGCAGTCTGCTCTTTTTTTAAAAGTCAAATGAAATTCAAATTCAGAGCATCCAAATATCAATAACCACATATCACACTTAGTTTTATATCAAATGTTTTGTTGAGTGAAGTTATATGCTGTGGTTTTGAGAAATATGATGTTGAATATTCGGTCTCTCCCAGGTGCGTTGTTGACGTCGATGGACAAGGAAGGGTTAACGCCCCTGAGCTGGGCGTGTTTGAAAGGACATAAGAACGTTGTGCAGTTTCTGGTGGAGAAGGGTGCAGTCATAGACCACACGGACAAGAATGGACGGACGCCGCTGGACCTGGCCGCCTTCTACGGAGACGCGGCAATCGTGAGTAGTAGAGAGAGATGGATGGACGGACAGATAGACAGAGACAGTCATTGAGCTTAGTCTAAATCTGTCTCACTAGGCCTGCCCATTAGTTAGGCTCAACACAAGTCCTCTGTGTCTCCTTATGGGACGCACACTGCTGAGAATTACCAAAGATTTATGGGAGAGTTAAGAGTGTGTGTTCTGACTAAAGAAGAGAGTGTGTGGTTTGACTGTGTTGTTCCTGGTGTGTAGGTCCATTACCTGGTGGAGAGAGGAGCGGTGATAGAGCATGTGGACTACAGTGGCATGAGGCCGTTGGACCGGGCCATCGGGTGTCGGAACACGTCAGTAGTGGTGACCCTGCTGAAGAAGGGGGCTAAACTGGGTAAGAAACTAAGAACTCTAACTATGATACAAATGGTCCGTGTCTGTTTGCTGCAAATAATGTTCATTCAGTTAATGTGTCCACTTTCGTCTGAGTATTCCAACCACAGGACGTTCTTTTGGTTGCTTTACGATGTTAGTAATGAGACTTGTGCTTCCAGCTGAGTGTCTGTAATTCTACTAAATAAGATGAGGCTAATGCCATGGAATCAGGTGACAAACTCCTGGTTTCATTGATGGTCACTGCTAAATTCAAGGCAATGACACTGAACCAATTTCTACCAGCATTCACCTAGTGTGGGTAGTGTCTCTCTCTCTTTCTGTCTCTCTCTCCCCCTCTCTCGCAACGCGCTCTCTCTTTCTTTTCTCCCCGGGGTGTGCCGGCAGGCTAATTTGAGAATGTGACTTATCACCTAAATGACATTCACTGAGGTATCTAGGCCTGGAGCTTATCTGCCTCATTTTACATCTGCAGTGCAGGCCAGCCAGGCGCACCCCTCCCAGAATTAGCTAATGGCCAATATCTTCAACCCACTCCCCTTGCTCTGGTAGCAATGTAGCCTGCTCCTAGCACACAATGCTATCAGTCTTTATGATCTGAATGACCATTACGACCAGCAAATCACCATTTTGTTTCATTAGGATTCATATCAATGCAATTGTAGGTACAGTATATCCACTGACAGACCCGCTCTATATTATCAGTGCAGGAATCCTTAATGGTGAAACAGCCACATCCATTTGCGATATTAACACAACAAAGAAGTTACTGTAAACAACAAACACTGTTTTTTCCCTCAGACATCATTCCACGCGCGATAGAACGGCAGAATATGTACTGCAATTTTCTTTCGCGCGACACGCCTCACCTCCACTTCGGCAACTGTGAATTCCATCTTTAATCTGGGAAAGGTCCAAAATGAATAAATCACATTTTATAGTTGTAGCAGTTTCAAATTCTCCTCTGCTTTCCTGAATGCTTTTATCTTTTTGCATGATTCCTTCCTTCCTTCAATCTCTCATCCTTTTTCCTTCTTCTTGACTGCATTCAATGTAACCCTAAGGGTGCAGAACGTCGCCTTATGATCGATCAGGTACAATCTTTAGGTAACTTTACCTTGTTACCAATTTCCTAGTGAATATAGTCCGTGGATTGGGGAGCGACAGTGGTGTAACTCTACTTTCTCTGTGTCTTTGTGGACCAACAGGGAATGCAGCCTGGGCTATGGCCACATCCAAGCCTGATATCCTCATCATTCTCCTGCAGAAGCTTATGGAGGAGGGCAACCTGCATTACAAGGTATGGAAAAGAGATCAAGTCAACATTACACTGTTAAAAGGATACTTCGGGATTTTGGCAATGAGGCCCTTTATTTACTATACTGTGCCGTTTGTAGGAAGTTGCTAACTAGCGCTAGCGTAATTGCTAACCAGCGTTAGCATAATGACTGGAAGTCTATGGTATCTGCTAGCATGCTAGCAGATACCCATATACTTCCTGTCATTGCGCTAACGCTAGTTAGCATTGGCTCATGAAACTACCTCCAACTTACTTCATACTTGACACAGAGACATAAAAATGGTATCCACAAGTTCATCTGACTCTGGGGAAGTAGATAAAGGGCTCATTGCCAAATCCCGAAGTATCCCTTTAAGCCTGAACTTTATGGTTCTAAACAAGGACATTATACTGTATAATGTTTATGTACAGTCAAGTGTGTTCTGAGTGAATGGAATATTTGATATTTTATGATGGGCTACATTTAAACAAGACTGACGCAAGTACTATAATTATGCCTTGATGATGTCACTGAATTGATCAGCCATCAAAAGTGAGTACGGGGTATACACATACACCACCAGACGTTTATCTAGTTTAAAGTCCTGTGTAGCTCGTCATAAGCATGGCGTTTGAACGCCAGGGTTTGGGTCGAGCCAGAAATGATTATAAAAGGAAGTCGCTCTGAAAGACGTCGCTAAATGACTAATGTAGTTGTAATGTAATGTAAGAGTGTTTGTATACATCTTAGCCACTGTATAAAAAGGACGTCTCAGCCCTATTGGTAAGATAAACAAATGACTGTATATTTTGAGCAGCTCAATGCGACGCAGCAGAGATGAATGGGTGCTGTGCCAGTGCCACGCTCACCTTCTGATCCATGATTGAGCCGTGACATTTAATAGATTGAGTTTTATGGCAGAAAAGGACAATCCGCTCAGGTGGAACCTGTGTGTGATTGATGAGAGAGAGAGAGGGAGTGTGTGAGCTGCTGCCGCGCGGCTGTTGGGTTGGGGGAGTATCTGACGACCATCCTTCCCTCCCTCTCTCGAGTCCTCTTTCTCTTTCCTTCCCCCCTCTCTCGCGTCCTCTTTCTCTTTCTTCCTCCCTCTCTCGCGTCCTCTTTCTCTTTCCTTCCCTCCCTCTCTCGCGTCCTCTTTCTCTTTCCTTCCCTCCCTCTCTCGCTCTCCTTCCTTACCTGTCTCGTTCTCCTTAATTTCCCTCTCCCTCCAGAAGGGGAAAATGAAAGAGGCAGCCCAGAGGTACCAGTATGCTCTGAGGAAGTTCCCCAGGGAAGGGTTCGGCGATGACCTGAAGGCCTTCAAAGAGCTGAGGGTGTCTCTGTACCTCAACCTCTCCCGCTGTCGAAGGAAAACCAACGTAAGATTCCCCACGTCTATCCTCCTCCTCTCCTTTTCTCCTCTAGTGCTGTATTTACTGGGTCATTGGTTCCCTAAGGTCTCCGTTAAAAAGACATACAGTGCATTAGGAAAGTATTCAGATCCCTTTACTTTTTCCACTTTGTTACATTACAGCCTTGTTCTAAAATTGATGAAATAAATGTTTTCCCTCATCAATCTACACACAATACCCCATAATGACAAAGCGAAAACAGGTTTTTATAGATTTTTGCAAATGTATAAAAACTAAAAACAGAAATACCTTATTTACATAAGTATTCAGACCCTTTGCTATGACACTCGAAATTGAGCTCAGGTGCATCCTGTTTCCATTGATCATCCTTGAGATAATTCTACAACTTGATTGGAGTCCAGCTGTGGTAAATTAAATTCATTGGACATCATTTGGAAAGGCACACACCTGTCTATATAGGGTCCCACAGTTGACAGTGCATGTCAGAGCAAAAACCATGTCATGAGGTCGAAGGAATTGTCTGTAGAGCTCCGAGACAGGATTGTGTCGAGTTACAGATATGGGGAAGGGTACCAAAAAATGTCTGCAGCATCGAAGGTCCCAAAGAACACAGTGGCCTCCATCATTCTTAAATGGAAGAAGTTTGGAACCACCAAGACTCTTCCTAGAGTTGGCCGCCCGGCCAAACTGAGCAATCGGAGGAGAAGGGCCTTGGTCAGGGATGTGACCAAGAACCCGATCTTCCAGAAGGACAACCATCTCTGCAGCAATCCACCAATCAGGCCTTTATGGTAGGGTGGCCAGACAGAAGCCACTCTTCAGTAAAAGGCGCGTGACAGCCCGCTTCGAGTTTGCCAAAAGGCACCTAAAGACTCTCAGACCATGAGAAACAAGATTCTCTGGTCTGATGAAACCAAGATTGAACTCTTTGGCCTGAATGCCAACCGTCAAGTCTGGAGGAAACCTGGCACCATCCCTACGGTGAAGCATGGTGGTGGCAGCAGGGACTGGGAGACTAGTCAGAATAGAGGGAAAGATGAACGGAGCAAAGTACAGAGAGATCCTTAATGAAAACCTGCTCCAGAACGCTCAGGACCTCAGACTGGGGCGAAGGTTCACCTTCCAACAGGACAACGACCCTAAGCACACAGCCAAGACAACGCAGGAGTGGCTTCGGGACAAGTCTCTGAATGTCCTTGAGTGGACCAGCCAGAGCCCGAACCTGAACCCTATCGAACATCTCTGGAGAGACCTGAAAATAGCTGTGCAGCGATACTCCCCATCCAACCTGACAGAGCTTGAGAGGATCTGCAGAGAAGAATGGGAGAAACTCCCCAAATACAGGTGTGCCAAGCTTGTAGTGTCATACCCAAGAAGACTTGAGGCTTTAATCGCTGCCAAAGGTGCTTCAACAAAGTACTGAGTAAAGGATCACATTTATTTTATATATAATTCTAAAAAACTGTTTTTGCTTTGTCATTATGAGGTATTGTGTATAGATTGATGAGGGGAAAAAACAATATAATCCATTTTAGAATAAGGCTGTAACATAACAAAATGTGGAAAAAGTCAAGGGGTCTGACTACTTTCCAAATGCACTGTAATATGTGATCAGGCCATATATGACACTAGAAGGGGACATTGGAAGATCTTTAAGTCTAAGAAACTGTTGTTGTACTGTGTATTTCTGAATGTATCTCAAAGATACACGCACCAGAAGTATGGCTGCTGTTAGGGAGTAGTAGACAGCGCTTTAAAAGCCCCATGATACAATTTCAAGCCAATTCGTGTTCCAGATCGATGAAACGTGCCATAAACTAACACAATGCTCTTAGGAACAGAATGAATGCAATAAATAATACTATCTACTACCCGTACAAAATTATAGCTATTAAGCTGTCCAGTTGAGTGAGTTTGATTGAGCCATTCAGGGCTAAATTATAATCTGTGCAGAAGTCCACAAGCGATAGTATGCTTGTAGTCATTAGTGGAGCTAATGTCAGCTTGCTGCCATAAACAATCAGGGAGATAGATGCAGAGAGAGAGAGAGCTGGTCCCCTGGACAATGTGTATTTCCATTTCCCTGCATTGGTTAATCATATTGATCCTTCACTCCCCTCACAACAGGACTTTGGCTTGGCAGAGGAGTTTGCAACAAAGGCCCTGGAGCTGAAACCCAAATCGTACGAGGCCTATTACGCCCGCGCCCGAGCCAAGAGGAGCAGCAGGTAAAGCTATTCATCAGGAGAACTCAACTTTTAGGAGACCATTGTTAGCATGAATTGTGAGAATATGGTTCTGTTTTTTCTTTTTTTTTTGCGCTTCTCCAAAATCCACATACCTCGTTCTGTATCTCTCTATCCCTCCCTATCTCCATTCCACCACAGGCAGTTCACGGCGGCCATGGCTGACCTACACGAAGCAGCCAGGCTGTGTCCCAACAACCGGGAGATCCGGAGGCTGCTGGCCCGTGTAGAGGAGGAGTGTATGCAGATGCAGCGCAGCACCACCCAGGGAAAACCGCAGGGGGCCACGTCCTCGTCCAACCAGGCCCCGGCCAACCACGACTCTGACCACCAACACGAGGAGGGGGAGGAGGAGGTGGTGTCGGAGCATAGCATGGCCGTCAGTAGAGGTCTGGATGGACAGAACACTCTGGGGCTGAATAAAGTGGAAGGGGAGGGGACTTCTCAGTCTCAACACTCAGATAGGAGAGGAGAGAGAGGTGATCCCTGGCCACAGAACATCTACTCCATCAATAGAACTCTGCCTGACACCCTCACCACCCAGCAGCAGCAGCAGCAGCAGAGTACCAGGCCTGGCTCTCCCCCCTCCGGCCCTTCGTGCCCTGGTAGGCTGAGTCACCACTACCCTCCCGGGGAGCCCAGAGAGCCCACCAAGCAGGCCCAGATAGTCAAAACCAACCAGCACATGAGCTCCCTGCAGGCAGGAGGCCGCTCCTCGGGGGCCAAGTCCCAGTACGCCCCTTCCAGCCCCCTGCCCAGCCGACACATGTCCAGCATGCTGAAGCCAGGGGGTCTGGGCATCGACATCAGCCCTCTACCGCCCCCTCCTGATGAGCCCGTCCACGGGGAGCAGCGCCTGTCCATGGCTGCTGCCTCCCAGAACATGGCTATGGGCCACCACTGCGACAGGGACAGCGAGTCCCTGCACTCTGCCCAGGCCTCCTACTCCTCCCAGGACTGTCTGTCTGCCCACTCAGTGTCCTCCCTGGACGCTCTGACCTCAGGGTCTCCCCAGGACCTCCTCAATGCTGCAGGGCCAGGCCAGGAGCGAAGGAAGGTGTGTGGGGGTAACGGGGTCTCCCAGGCAGTCTCTCAGGGGGGAGACGGCAACATCAGGGTGTCCAGCTCCACCAGCTCCCTGGCCTCCAGCAGTAGTCTATCTGAGAGCGGCAAGCTGCAGGGCCCTGACGTACGTACCAAGACCACCACAGACAAGGCCAAGCAGGGCCAAGGAGGCACAAGCGAGTGGAAACCCAGGCCCTTCATGGGCATCATGGACAAGAAGGCACGCTTTCTTCAGCAGCAGCAGCAGCAGCGGGAACAACTGCAGCAGCAGCAACAACAACTGCAGCAGCAACAGCACCAAAGGCTCCAGAACCACCCAGTCCTACAGACCGCCAACGGAGCCCTCCGCAGCTGGCAGAGTCACTCCTCTGAGGGATTAGTGTGCCACACCACGTCTGCCATGGGCCTCCAGGTGGCGGGGGCGAACTGTGAGCTACCTTATGCCAAAATAGGGAGCATTTACCACGAGCAGCTCAAAGCTCCATCTCAGGGTGCTATGGGGAGCCTGCAGAACGGAATGCACTCAAAGGAATTTGCAGAGAAGTTCTGCCAAGCAGCCACCTGTTACAAGGAATCCAAGCCAGCTCTGGCCATGCCGTCGCACGCTTTTGTGGACAGTAGGCCCAAGCAGCCGAGCTTAGCCCGAGAGAATCCCACCATTCACGTAGCTTCAATGAAACCAAAGCGATCATTCATAGAATCAAATGTGTAGGGATATTTATCTCCCCTCTCTCAACACACACAGACACACGTGCGCGTATACACACACACACACACACACAGATACACACGCAGGTACACACACACATACAGACAACACGCACATGCACATTGTGCACACACACAACACACCCACAAACACTTTACACACACACATCTTTGCAAAAATTCTAAGTGGAGGGATTGCTTAAGGTTTTACCAGCCCATAAAAAAAGTCTAAACTTTTTAAGTATGCAAACTATGTTTGTTCCCCCTGTGAATATCTGCCACAGGCAGCGTTTTGATTGAAGCAGTAACAGAACAGATGGATTTCTTTCCTACTGTTGCATATGGCTGTTTGCTTCTGTTACTGGATGATATGCTCCCTCTCATTCAGCAAAGCTGGAGACATTGCACTGAGACATTGGGCATGTACTAAAAGACAAAACAGTGACAGCACTTTACGCATTTACATAGGCCTTTAAGTAAAGTGCTTACACAACATATTATATTACAGGATAATGTTATTACTGAATTGTTCAATGTTGAGTATAAGACAATATTTGCATCCAAAATGGCACCCTATTCGCTATATACTGTAGTGCACTACTTTTGGCCGGCCCTGGTCAAAAGTAGTGTACTATATAGGGAATAGGGTGTCATTCTGGACACATACAATGGGATTTGAACTGTGTTCATTATGTCAATGGTGCTGATGGCAGAATTATGGAGCTGTTTAGAAGAGATGTAAGAATATGTTGGAGATGGGCATTCCTGTGTTCTAAGAAGGATGTTGTAGATCCTCACATTGTGTATATATAAATATGTATTTTTCCTTCTTTTGAGTGAAGATCTATGTCAGCGTATTGACTTGTTCAAATGATCTGTATTTTGGAGGTTTCTTTTATGTACATTTTGGTTCCGACGGTGTTCAAGGTTCAAAAAAATGTATTTGTTTATATGTTTGTACATTCTATAAATTTCCCGATAACGTTCAAACTAAATCCTCTCTGTATCTGCTTGTCGTTGCTGTCTAGGTTAATTTATTTACAGCGTCTATGGCTTGATTAATTGTAAAAACAATATATTTTATAGTTATTTTTGCACAGCTACTAAGACGTTTTACGAGTTCAATAATAAGCGCTGTCAAAGTAATATTGGTTTAAGTGCATGCCACAATTTCAGTTTATAATAAAGTTTTTAAAAAATCTATAAACAATAAAGGTTTGGGGGAGCGTGGTGCCATCGATAATATTTTAATATGTATGTTACTTGCAATGGTTGCCATGTTTCCAGTATTGTGAGCTGTGTTACCCGTAATCACATACTGTAATAGAACATTACTTCCATTCCCACCATGGGGAAATAAAGTCCCACTGAGAAAACACATAGGCCTGCTGGCTGTCATTGTAGCAGGGAAAGAAGAGGCACGTTCAACATCGCTCTGGTCCAGGGCGGTAGTGCCCGTTCGAATGCACACTAACGTCCTGGACCAGAGCGAAGTTCGACAATACATTTTAGAAGCACATGTTTATACTGCATATACTGTATAAAGGTGGACTAGTTTATTCCAACAAAATCCTATTGCACAAATTATGTAAAGGTCTAGTAATTTACAAGGCACACACAGGCAAACGACATATCATATCACTCATTCATGAATAATCACCCTAGTTTAATCCAAAGTATATTATAGAACTGTGCAGTGAACTGATTGTCAGTAATCACATTGTACAAATTTGGCTTGATTCTGAAATGTGGGCTCTTCAGAGCAGGGGAGAATGAAGGCCGACCGCGGTACTGCAGGCATTGTTTCCAGAAAACAGGATCCCCATTATAGTGAATGGGGAAATGGCGATCTTTGTGGTCAATATTCGTGGATATAAAAACATTTTCCGAACACAATCATGGTACGAATAATTGTTTATATTTCACCAGATGTATGTCTTTGAAGCGATTACTTTAAAATCACACACAGACAAAGTTATAAGGATGATTTACTTGTTAACGGTAGCCTGTAGTACCTCGTCGGCCTTCAACTTGAGGTTCTTCATGAGGAGGCTGCACTGAGCTAGCCTGCAACGTCACTTCCTGGAGTAGCTCAAACTGTGCATGCAATGTTTCCAAAAAGTCCTCCATGTAGCAAGATGGCGACATGCTGAAATGACACTTCCTGATCATCAAATGTGCCACTGACCATTCTCATAGGAAACAATTGGGTGACGTCATCGATGGCTTTGTCCGTATTTGTTTACAGTCTGCTTCAGAGTAAGGCATTACTGATTACTCGTGCACCAATCCATCACTGAGTGGCAGTCCAACGGCCAATAGCGGTCTTCAGGCTTCTGTTGGGCATGACCAGAGTGGTTGGTAAAGGTAGGTTGGTCATGGGACTGGAACGGTTCTTAGCGCTGATCCAACTCTCAATGGCCTCTCTCTCATAGGAATATCCATCTGTTGATTTCAGACACATTTTATACATCAGACAGTGACATAATTACTTTTATAGGCTACATACAGTATAATGTGAGTTGGAGCAGGAAAGTGCAGATTTCTATTTTTTTTAAACAATAACAAATGGGCTACATTAGCATTGACGAACAAGGACATGTATACAGTGCATTCGGAAAGTATTCAGACCCCTTCACTTTTTCCACATTTTATTACGTTAACCCCTTTATTCTAAAATGGATTAAATGTTTTTTTTTCTCATCAATCCACACACAATACCCCATAATGACAAAGCAAAAAACTGTTTTTTTAGAAATGTTTGCAAATGTATAAAAAAATAAAATACCTTATTTAAATAAGTATTCAGACCCTGTGCTATGAGACGCTCAGGTGCATCCTGTTGCCATTGATCATCCTTGAGATGTTTCTACAACTTGATTGGAGTCCACCTGTGGGAAATTCAATTGATTGGACATGATTCGGAAAGGCACACACCTGTCTATATAAGGTCCCAGAGTTGACAGTGCATGTCAGAGCAAAAACCAAGCCATGAGGTCGAAGGAATTGTCCGTAGAGCTCAGAAACAGGATTGTGTCGAGGCACAGATCTGGGGAAGGGTACCAAAATATTTCTGCAGCATTGAAGGTCCCCAAGGACACAGTGGCCTCCATTATTCTTAAATGGAAGAAATTTGGAACCACCAAGATTCTTCCTAGATCTGGCCTCCTGGCCAAAACTGAATAATCGGGGGAGAAAGGCCGTGGTCAGGGAGGTGACCAAGAACCCGATGGTCACTCTGACAGAGCACCAGAGTTCCTCTGTGGAGATGAACGGAGCAAAGTACAGAGATCCTTGATGAAAACCTGCTCCAGAGCGCTCAGGACCTCAGACTGGGGCGAAGATTCACCTTCCAACAGGACAACAACCCTAAGCACACAGCCAAGACAACGCAGGAGTGGCTTCGGGACAAGTCTCTGAATGTCCTTGAGTGGCCCAGCCAGAGCCCGGACTTGAACCCGATCGAACATCTCTGGAGAGACCTGAAAATAGCTGTGCAGCGACGCTCCCCATCCAAGCTGACAGAGCTTGAGAGGCTCTGCAGAGAAGAATGGGAGAAACTCCCCAAATACAGGTGTGCAAAGCTTGTACCGTCATACCCAAGAACACACGAGGCTGTAATCGCTGCCAAAGGTGCTTCATCAAAGTACTGAGTACAGGGTCTGAATACTTATGTAAATCTGATATTTCCGTTTTTGCTTTGTCATTATGGGGTATTTTGTGTAGATGGATGAGGGGAAAAAACAATTTAATACATTTTAGAATAAGGCTGTAACGTAACAAAATGTGGAAAAGGGGATTGGGTCTGAATACTTTCCAAATGCACTGTATGGTTGTGTTTAGACAGGCAACCCAATTCTGATCTTTTTTCCCCTAATTAGTATTTTGACAAATCTCTGATCTTTTCACGTCAGATCTTTTTCAGAGCTGATCTGATTGGTCAAAAGACCAATTCATAAAAAAATATCAAAATTGGGCTGCCTGTCTAAACGCAGCCTATGTGGGACAGATGTTTTTATGTCCTCTCCCTCACCTGCAGCAATGACAGGGTCCTTCATCACCTCTCTGGTGATTGGACAGAGGAACTCATCTGGGGCATCTAGTCCCGTCAACTCTGCCTTCAGAGCTTCCACCTTCCTCAGGACTTTACCACGGAGACCCACCGACTCTAGCAAAACAATGGCAACATACAAAACTATACTGAACAAACATATAAACGCAACATGTAAAGTGTTGGTCCCATGTTTCATGAGCTGAAATCAAAGATCCCAGAAATGATCCATATGCACAAAAAGCTTATTTCTCTCAAATGTTGTGCACAAATTAGTTTACATCCCTGTTTGTGAGCATTTCTCTTTTGCCAAGATAATCCATCCATCTGACAGTTGTGGCATATCAAGAACCTCATTAAACAGCATGATCATTACACAGGTGCACCTTGTGCTGGGGACAAAAGGCCACTCTAAAATGTGCAGTTATGTCACACAACACAATGCCACAGATTGGCATGCTGACTGCAGGAATGTCCACCAGAGCTGTTGCCAGATAATTTAATGTTAATTTCTCTACCATAAGTGTAACCAAGCCAGCCCAGGACCAAGGAATGATCATCTCCCCAATCAGACGGTTTTGACTAGATGATATACAGCTACGGACAGAAAGTTACTTTTCGTAGCAGGTTAAGAGAATTACGTTAAGGTTAGGAAAAGGGTTAGGTTTAGCTAAAATGCAAAAATTCTCCCAGACGCGACCTGAACATGCAACTTTTTTACCGTAGCTTCATACCATCTAGCAGCAACCCAATCAGGCCTCTTCCTATGGAAGACCTTGCTCCTACATATGGAACGCTCTGTTTGTTAATCAGGGTTCTGCCGTTGCCTAGTGCCTTGGCGCTCAAGCGAAACAGATCCACACACACACACGCGCACTTAGGCTAGGAACTGACAGACAGCTGTGTTGGTGGCGTGGAAGACAGAAACCACACCACCTGCCACACATCAGTGAGATTATGGCACTAGGTTATGATGACTTTAGTGTCTTGGTAGAGTTAATTAGCCAGAACCTGCAATCAGGGGCCACATGAGACTGGGGAGCAAACTCAACCAATGTGATTGGAGGAAACTCAGTGCAGATACAGCACTATAGATAGATAGGGCACTGCAATCACAAAAGGTCAAATCCCAGTGGGCACTGTAGTGGGGAAAAGTGCTCAATCAAAATGTGTTCGTCCAATCAGACTTGCTGAACCCATTAGTCATACAATTAACTAATGTGGATAAGGGAATTGCTAAACTCTGAGCAATATTTACAGTATCTTGCTTTGTGCCTGCATTGCAGCAAATGAGGTGACATTCATGATTGTTTGCAAAATACACTTTGTAACTTCACCGTTTGCATTTTGACAATCACAGCACCAAGACTACATTGGGGTACATTGACAAACCACCATAAACCTGCAATGCAGCGGACTGATGTTTGCTGTAGTTGGGGGTTGTTGTACCAGAGAAGCTAGTCCCTAAAGAGAACACATGTCCTACTGTGCTGCACCGAGGTGCTGTTCTCTCTGTGGGTGTGATACATAATTCTCCCTAAGCCCCTAGAGCAGGGATCATCAACTAGATTCAGCCGTGGGCCAATTTATTTCTTGAGAGGATGGTCAGGGGGCCAGAACATAATTACAAATATCTTCAGGAAATCATAATGTGGGTTAGTGTGGACAGCGGAAAGGAAAGTGGATTTTTAGAAATGTATTGTTTCCTCAGTCCTGATTAATTGGTAATGATTAATACTGATTCAGAAAACTATAGTCTTTATGGCACTATCTCAATCGATTGCAATACTATCACAGTGAAGACACAGAGTAAACATATAATTTTCTCTCTAGCTTGGATGGTTGAGGTAATAACATGCCATAGAAAATGTAAGACACTAGGTCCTGTCCAAATCCACAAAACTCATTTTCGGAGGGATTATCTAATTATTTTCTAACTATTTTAACATCTATGGTCATCTGATGGCTTTTGGGAAATTGTCTGAAGCAAATTATATAAGCAAGTAATATCCAATGGGACATTTTGGAAGTAGTAATGTCACAGCTTGGCAGCCCCAAAGCAGATTACTATTTGATTTTGGGAGCATTGTGGGAATATTAGAACACAGATAAAAGCCTCTGTGGCATGTATTCCATTCCAATAGAACTGCATAATACAGGATAATACAGTAAATCCTATGGATCTATTCCTGCATCCCGTCATTACTAATGAGGAGTGGAAATGCCAGGTCACAGGTCAGACATGCCTGAGATCTGTGTGTTGTGCTGTGAATAGGGTGGCAAAATGGTTTTACAGAAATCCTGGTTGGAGGATTTTGGATATCCTGCTTACATGTATTCCCTCCTGAGTCCTGATTTTGGGAATCTTCCAACCCGCAGTGTTTCCCAGCTGCACCGCTGAAAAATTGTTGCCGCCACACCCACATTTTTTACTAAATTAATCTGGATGTAAATACGCTTTCAGTGTAAACTTAAATAACTAAAACCAGTCAGAAAGTTTGTAGAAAATATAATTTACCTATATATTTAAAAAAATATATATAATCTTTGAGAACTACAAATCACCTAAATAAAAGCTAAAACGATGAAACCAATAAATAAAATGAATTTAGGAGTACTTTTGGCATGGCTGGATTACTGACCATGCTCAGAGTCCCCGATTGGGGTCCCCATTGATTTGGTTATAACCTTTGAGCATAAGAACACATAATTAGCCATGGCAAAATGTGTAGAATTACAGGAAATTTGCTTTCACACTGCAACATTTTCTGTCAGCTCCATGGCAACGTGTAGAATTGCAGCAACATTTTCTTTAAAATTGCAATATTTTCTCTCAGCACCATGGAAAAATGTAGACTTGCAGGAAAGTAGCTCCTTTTTTATCCAGAAAAAACTTTGCTATTACTGCTGCCTGATATGAAAAATATGAAGAAAATATATGTATATATATATATAAAATGTATGCACTCACTAAATGTAAGTCGCTCTGGATAAGAGCGTCTGCTAAATGACTAAATTGTACAAATGTAAAATAATATGGTATGGTCCCATGTATAGGCTATGGTAAAAGAGTCAACCCTAAAATAATTATAGATAGATGGTGTCAGCATCATTTGATTTTCATTCATTTTGGAGTAGAATGTCCTTTTAAAAAGTGACCTTCTCAAACTCCTACAAAAAAAGTATCCCCTCCTTCCACCGCCTTTGCAAAACAAATGATAAATTATTCTCAGAAAATGGCGCCGGAGAAGATGTCTGCCGTTTTACAGCCCTCTAACCAATTGTACTATTATGTGTGTTTTTCCGCATTATTTGTAATTTATTTTGTACATAATGTTTCTGCCATCGTCTCTTATAACCAAAAAGAGCTTCTGGATATCAGGACAGCGATTACTCACCTCGTATTGGACTAATAATTTTTCTTCAACGAGGCGGCCGCGAAGGATATCCTACAGACACCCGACAAGGCCCAAATCCCCGTCATTCGCATGAGGAAGAGACAGAGATATCGTGGACGTAGGTCGGGGTGCCTTGTAAGGATCCGACGGCGAGCGAGTAAACTGCCGCTCCCATCAATCCTATTAGCCAATCTTCAATCATTGGAAAATAAATTGGATGACCTAAGATTACGGTTATCCTACCAACGGGACATTAAAAACTGTAATATCTTATGTTTCACCGAGTCGTGGCTGAACGACGACATGGATAACATACAGCTACATCGGCAGGATAGAACGGCTGACTCCGGTAAGATAAGGGGTGGCGGTCTGTGTATATTTGTAAACAACAGTTGGTGCACAAAATCAAATCCTAAGGAAGTCTCGAGGTTTTGCTCGCCTGAGGTAGAGTATCTTATGATAAGCTGTAGACCACACTATTTACCAAGAGAGTTTTCATCTATATTTTTCATAGCTGTCTATTTACCACCACAAACCAATGCTGGCATTAAGATTGCACTGAATGAGCTGTATAAGGCCATAAGTCAACAGGAAAACGCTCATCCAGAGGCAGCGCTCCTAGTGGCCGGGGACTTTAATGCAGGGAAACTTAAATCCGTTCTACCTAATTTCTACCAGCATGTTAAATGTGCAGCCAGAGGAAAAAAAACTCTAGACCACCTTTACTCCACACACAGAGACGCATACAAAGCTCTCCCTCGCCCTCCATTTGGCAAATCTGACCATAACTCTATCCTCCTGATTCCTGCTTATAAGCAAAAACTAAAGCAGGAAGCACCAGTGACTAATAATAAAGTGGTCAGATGACGCAGATGCTAAGCTACAGGACTGTTTTGCTAGCACAGACTGGAACATGTTCCGGGATTCTTCAGATAGCATTGAGGAGTACACCACATCAGTCACTGGCTTCATCAATAAGTGCATCGATGATGTCGTCCCCACAGTGACCGTATGTACATACCCCAACCAGAAGCCATGGATTACAGGAAACATCCGCACTGAGCTAAAGGGTAGAGCTGCCGCTTTCAAGGAGCGGGACTCTAACCCGGACGCTTATAAGAAATCCCGCTATGCCCTCCGACGAACCATCAAACAGGCAAAGAGTCAATACAGGACTAAGATTGAATCGTACTACACCGGCTCTGACGTTTGTCGGATGTGGCAGGGCTTGAAAACTATTACAGACTACAAAGGGAAGCACAGCCGCAAGCTTCCCAGTGACACAAGCCTACCAGACGAGCTAAACCACTTCTATGCTCGCTTCGAGGCAAGCAACACTGAAGCATGCATGAGAGCACCAGCTGTTCCGGATGACTATGTGATCACGCTCTCCGTAGCCGATGTGAGTAAGACTTTTAAGCAAGTCAACATTCACAAGGCTGCAGGGCCAGACGGATTACCAAGACGTGTACTCCGAGCATGTGCTGACCAACTGCCAAGTGTCTTCACTGACATTTTCAACATGTCCCTGACTGAGTCTGTAATACCAACATGTTTCAAGCAGACCACCATAGTCCCCGTGCCCAAGGACACTAAGATAACCTACCTAAATGACTACCGACCCGTAGCACTGACGTCTGTAGCCATGAAGTGCTTTGAAAGGCTGGTCATGGCTCACATCAACACCATTATCCCAGAAACCCTAGACCCACTCCAATTTGCATACCGCTCCAACAGATCCACAGATGATGCAATCACTATTGCACTCCACACTGCCCTTTCCCACCTGGACAAGAGGAACACCTACATGAGAATGCTATTCATTGACTACAGCTCAGCATTCAACACCATAGTGCCCTCAAAGCTCTTCACTAAGCAAAGGATCCTGGGACTAAACACCTCCCTCTGCAACTGGATCCTGGACTTCCTGACGGGCCGCCCCCAGGTGGTAAGGGTAGGTAACAACACATCTGCCACACTGATCCTCAACACGGGGGCCCCTCAGGGGTGCGTGCTCAGTCCCCTCCTGTACTCCCTGTTCACCCATGACTGCATGGCCAGGCACGACTCCAACATCATCATTAAGTTTGCCGACGACACAACAGTGGTAGGCCTGATCACTGACAACGATGAGACAGCCTATAGGGAGGAGGTCAGCGACCTGGCCGTGTGGTGCCAGGATAACAACCTCTCCCTCAACGTGACCAAGACAAAGGAGATGATTGTGGACTACAGGAAAAAAAAAGAGGACTGAGTACGCCCCCATTCTCATCGACGGGGCTGTAGTGGAACAGGTTGAGAGCTTCAAGTTCCTTGGTGTCCACATCACCAACGAACGATCATGGTCCAAACACACCAAGACAGTCGTGAAGAGGGCACAACAAAGCCTATTCCCCCTCAGAAGACTGAAAAGATTTGGCATGGGTCCTCAGATCCTCAAAAAATTCTACAGCTGCACCATCGAGAGCATCCTGACTGGTTGCATCACCGCCTGGTATGGCAACTGCTTGGCCTCCGACCGACCGTCATAGACTGTTCTCTCTGCTACCGCACGGCAAGCGGTACCGGAGTGCCAAGTCTAGGTCCAAAATACTTCTCAACAGCTTCTACCCCCAAGCCATAAGACTCCTGAACAGCTAATCATGGCTACCCGGACTATTTGCACTGCCCCCCCACCCCATCCTTTTTACGCTGCTGCTACTCTGTTAATTATTTATGCATAGTCACTTTAACTCTACCCACATGTACATATTACTTCAACTACCTCAACTAGCCGGTGCCCCCACACATTTACTCTGCACCGGTACCCCCCTGTATATATAGCCTCTCTACTGTTATTTTATTTAACTTCTGCTCTTTTTTCTCAACACTTTTTTGTTGTTGTTTTATTTTACTTTTTTATTAAAAATAAATGCACTGTTGGTTAAGGGCTGTAAGTAAGCATTTCACTGTAATGTCTGCACCTGTTGTATTCGGCGCATGTGGCCAATAACATTTGAATTGATTTGATATAGAAGAAACACTGAACCCTGTTTCTGGAAAATCTGGGAATTTGGGGAACATTACCGGAATTGTGCAACCCTAGTTGTGAATTCCATGTCCTTACCAATGCTCAGCTCTGAGGCCATGGTCTCCTTGGTTAGACAGAGCAGCTCAGGGCCGTCTATGTTGTTGGTTGTGAAGGTGGTGACCAGCTCCTCCAGACCCTCCTCATTCAGCCAGGCCAACACATCCTCCTCGGACCAGTCGCTCACCAGCAGCCTGGAGTGACCTGGCAGCTTTCTTCCTGCTCCTGTGGAACACACACAAACACAGGAAGGGAGGAAGGGCCCCCTCCTCGAGTCCTTCACCCCCGCCAGTCTCCTGCAATACTACATATCAGATCCCTACAAACACGTCCCACACATTCCACACAAAGAAGACCCTCCATCGGTGCTGATAGCAAATGACCACTCATTCTAGTATGCAGAGATAAAAGCCAACCAGTGCTTCCTAACCTGTCACCCAATTATACGTCCTCTTTTTATCAACAGTGCTTTAATCACATTTGCATGCCCTGGGAATATTTATCAGCTTCGGAGCCTCCCCCCCCCCCGACAAGTTTGTGTTTTTCTGGCCTTTGCAGGCACACTGTTCATCAGAGGCAACCTTCATATGACATTGCGCGAGCTGCTATCATTTTTCATGTATCGTTAAGATAAAATACAGTGTTGTGTGCTGCGCTCGCTAATGACACCTCATAGCACTTCATGCTTTACATTTCCTATCATTAGGCAGCTGAGTGATAACAGTGGGGACTACTGGAGCTATTTCTCATTCATGTGGCATTGTTTGCTTTTCCTCACCTCTCTCACTCCCTTCACGTCACCCTCCATCTCTCGCTATCTGTTATCCTAGTCATTCACAATCGCTTCCTTGCCCATCTGGCCAAAATAACACCACCACTGACTTCCCCACTGAATTTCCCTCTCAGAAGCATACATGTGGATGGGGGCTTAATGATGTTATGTGAAACAGCAGCAACACTATCAACCGAAACATACCAGAACATTAGTAAAGTAAGTGTCCTCTTGTCAAATCTGCTTGTACTGTACAGTAACACCTCCCCCCTCCATAGTCCAGGCCCATAGAGGTGGGAATCTGAGTCTACGTCCCAAATGGCACCCTATGGACCTTGGTCAAAAGTAGTGCACTATACAAGGAATAGGGTGCTATTTGGGACTCAGGGGAAGGTTATGTCAATATCCTTGAAGCTTCTGGGAGCCTAGCTGACTGGGGGGTTAGGGAAGCTCTGCCAAGACTGGAGAGGTTCCACTCTTGGACTGGCTCCTCATCATCATCTGTCACTTTACAAGTCATCATCATTTATTTTAATGCCTCCTCCACTCATTGAGGCCTCCAGACATCTCATCCATTTATTGGCACAGTATCTGGCTCCAGGGTGATGTTTCCCCTATGTATATATCTAGGATCAGTTTCCGCTCACCTAATCCTAACCCCATTAGTGGGGAAAATGCTAAACTAACCTAAGATCACCATCTATGGGTAGTATCTGGAGACTGCTGCTCCTGACTGTCCCATCATGCACTGGAATGAATGATAAGACATATTCCTGTGTGTTCTTACCTTGGCATGAAGGGTTCCTGGATTCAGCTAGAAGTCACAAGAAAACACAAAATGAATCACTTTCAAAGGAGAATGTGTTCATAGAGCGATAGAGAGAGCTTGGAATGTGCTCTGTCAACGTGCCTACTCTCAGAAGGAAACCCTCTGTTGAATACTCTAGTCTAGCTTGGCCCCCTGATGTCTGAAGACACGGCTACATTCTGGTGCAGTGCCTTTTTATTAAGTGTTTTTGTGATTAAGACATTTCATCTTATTTCTCTCTGTCTCGCCATTGTGCCCTCTGCAAGTGTGGCACTGTGGGGCTTAGAGGTTAGACGAGGCCATTTGGGATCTCACCACCTAGGGTCAGAGCCAGCCTGCTAATGATTATTAAAGAGACATTTTTAAAAATTCTACTTCATATTCATCATCTCTAGCACCACCCCAACGTCAACATATGTGAAAATGGTGCGTTTCTATGTTTTGTAGTAAAAAATCTAGAAGAAAGTGTTTCCAATGACATCATCGGTGTGCATCATGTGATTTTAACGAATTATGAGTAGGCATTGCCTACTAATTGTCTACTAATTGGTTGATGATGTCATTGGAAACACTTATCTTCAACTATCTTTTTTTACTTTGCTGGAGATGAATACGTATGTCTTTAGTCTGGCCCACTCAGCACAGCAGGCACACGACTCCTCCAGTCCCAGAGGAGCCTCTCCCACTGGGGCTACATTCCCACTACACTCCCTTGGGAACTGGCTGTCTGGCTCACACAAAATGGCTGCTGGTCTTTGAGTGGTACATTAGAGAACATCAGGCTACTACCTACCCTGCCCGCTGTCTCCATCTGCTATCCTCCACACGTTGACCTTTTTGTCCATGGAGCCAGTAGCCATCAAGGGCAGGGTTGGAGAGAAGGCACAGACTGTCACAAAGCTAAGAGAGGGAGGGAGGGAATAGGAATTCATTGTCTTTGAAGGCATACAGTTACACTGAGTTATATAACTATATAAATATATAAGGGGGTAACAGGCAGGTCAGGCTGGTACCTCTCATGCCGTTTCAAAGTGTGAAGAAGGACTCCATCGCTCTACAAAGGAAGAAATAAACAAACATTGACAAAGCAGAATGTCTGGCATTTCTCACTGTTTAGAGACTGTGATTTGTACGAGGGAAACAGTGGTGTTTGTGTGGATGGATACATCTGTTTAAAAAGCAAAACACAACTTACTAAGACCACACCAAAGGTTTTACATACCGCATTGTACACCGTCGCTGTTTTATCCACTGAGCTGTTGAATTGATTTCAACAGCTCATCAGTACAAGATACAAACAAATAATGACACATAAAACAATTGTATTTTCCCATTAAGTGCAGAAATTAAGCAAAAACTTCTACTTCACCAAACAGACACAAGCATGAATGAGATTGAAGCCTCACTCACAGAGCAGAATGTTGTAACAGAGTAGAGACCCCTAGTGGTCCAATAGGATAACAGCAGTATTTAAAAGCAACAATGGATGTTTCTACTTGATTATACTAACAGTGCTTATTCCTACTGAACAGGGATGTAAGAAATATTTGGTCACACCTTACATTACAGTGATGCTATTACTGTGTAATTATTCCTACAAGTACCCTAGAGTAGCGTTAGGGCAATGCCAAAATTAGGGTTAGGGTAGTTCCCCACTGGGCACAGACATCAATTCAAAGTCTATTCCATGTTGGTTCAACGTATTTTCATTGAAATTATGTGGAAACAACGTTGATTCAACAGTGTGTGCCAAGTGGGTCTGGTCTAGGGCGTTCGTGTGGCTTGCGTTAGGATAGCTCTGGTCCAGGGTGTTCATGCCGCTTGCAATCTGCACAAACGCCCTGGACCAGAGCTATGGTTACATTTTACATTTTAGTCATTTAGCAGACGCTCTTATCCAGAGTGAGTGCATACTTTTTTTGTTGTTGTTGTTCTTACTGGCCCCCCGTGGGAATACCTGTGATGGTTAGGGATAAGGATCATGAGAGGACTAACATCAGAGCATACATGGAGGATGGATGGTCTTACCCTGAGACAAGCAACTCTCCGTCAGATGAGAAGGCACAGGAGAGCACAGGGGCCGACTGGCCAGTCAGAGTGTGAAGCAGCTTCATCTCACAGGCTGGGAATCAATAACACACAAAGAGCTCGTGTAGAGAAAACCTCACCACCCACACCCCACTGTCTGTCTGTCCCACTGACCACCCCTCTGACCATCCCTGCAACCCTTCCCTTGACCGGATTAACAACTCACTGTCCATTTAGGAGTCAGCTACACACTATACACACTGGATTCCAATTCAGTAATGCCACATCATTTACTTGCAGGTTGACAACTGAGCACTGTGGTAAGGCTGTTGTTGTCCTTTTCCAAATTCATCTTATCTATATGACATTTTCCCCTCCTGGCAAGTCATTCAAAATCACTAATTGCTTATTTTTAATTGAGCCTTTACAGGCTGAGTAAGTAGTTATGGCCATGTGGCTATTAAAATTCACAGTGAATGAAGAGATAAGATAGAAAAAACATATTTCTAAAACACACAAAAAAAACACTACAGGACAATTAAGAGGAAACGCATGAATAATAACATATCAGCTATAGGAAGCAGAAGCAGAATGCCAGTTGAATTGAAAGGTTACTGACACAAAAGAGAACTGAAAAATGATGACTATAAAAAATTCCACCCATGCGGCTAAGCCCATCTGCAAAACACAATTTCCTGTGAATGTGGAACAATAACCATGCGAGGCACAGCACCTGCACTTTGCAGCAGGCAGCCTATTCTGCAGCCTGTGAGAGGTACGTGTTCTCTGGTTTTATTCCCTGTGTTTCTGTGTGCTCCCTTCAGTGTGCTGCGGCTGCTGCTCTAGGACAAAGGCACCACAACACATCCATGTGGAACACCACTCAGGACGCACATCTCACCCAGGCACAGCTGTTTCCACAGCAACAGAGGCAGGTTAGTCAGGACCTGTACTGTACTATATAGGTAGCACAGGACAAGACCATCCACCACCACCTTCCAGAGCAGGGTTGGGCAATCATTTCGGCCCAAGAGCCACTTCGGGAATTCAAAATTCTTTATTTTCGGACCGATTTGTTAGTCAAAAGCAATTTGTGTACCAGAAAAATATCAGTTATTTTAAAACGTATAAATACATTGTAATTTCTACTTACTTTCTATCTAGTTTTAGATGTTCAAGAGTGGTCTGGAGTGTTTTTTTTAACCCAAAATAATATCCCCCCCCCCCCCCCCCCTCCCCCAAAGATAAACGTATGTTACCCACCCCTGTTCCAGAGGCTAATACAAAGCCTGCTATTAGGCCATTCAGGACCATTCTAGCATTTGTGGCTTGTTCAAGGCCATGATTGTTTCCATTTGTTTGCCGCTCATTGGATTGTTGACTGTACTGTTCCGGAATGGGCAAATATATATATACACACACACATCAGACGCTCATCACAATCCAGAACACATAACTAGTATGTGTTGAAAATACCATAAAACACACTTTAAACAATGTTTGGGTACATTTATTACATTTTCATATTTGAAAGATATATATTTTAAGCCGACCGGATAGAGATTTAACACAAGCACAGCCAAACACGCACGCACGCACACACACACACACACACACACACACACACACACACACACACACACACACACACACAACCTTGCTGGTCTGTTGTCAAATCTGATATGACTGAAAACAATCTTAATGCTGGCATTAAGATTGCACTGAATGAGTTGTACAAGGCCATTAATCAACAGGAAAACGCTCATCCAGATGCAGCGCTCCTAGTAGCAGGGGACTTTAATGCAGGGAAACTTAAATCCGTTCTACCTCATTTCTACCAGCATGTTAAATGTGCAACCAGAGGGGAAAAAACTCTAGACCACCTTTACTCCACACACAGAGACGCATACAAAGCTCTCCCTCGCCCTCCATTTGGCAAATCTGACCATAACTCTATCCTCCTGATTCCTGCTTATAAGCAAAAACTGAAGCAGGAAGCACCAGTGACTCGGCTAATAAAAAAGTGGTCAGATGACGCAGATGCTAAGCTACAGGACTGTTTTGCTAGCACAGACTGGAACATGTTCAGGGATTCTTCAGACAGCATTGAGGAGTACACCACATCAGTCACTGGCTTCATCAATAAGTGCATCGATGATGTCGTCCCCACAGTGACCGTACGTACATACCCCAACCAGAAGCCATGGATTACAGGAAACATCCGCACTGAGCTAAAGGGTAGAGCTGCCGCTTTCAAGGAACGGGACTCTAACCCGGACGCTTATAAGAAATCCCGCTATGACCTCCGACGAACCATCAAACAGGCAAAGAGTCAATACAGGTCTAAGATTGAATCATACTACACTGGCTCTGACGCTCGTCGGATGTGGCAGGGCTTGAAAACTATTACAGACTACAAAGGGAAGCACAGCCGCGAGCTGCCCAGTGACACAAGCCTACCAGACGAGCTAAACCACTTCTATGCTCGCTTCGAGGCAAGCAACACTGAAGCATGCATGAGAGCACCAGCTGTTCCGGACGACTATGTGATCACGCTCTCCGTAGCCGATGTGAGTAAGACTTTTAAGCAGGTCAACATTCACAAGGCCGCAGGGCCAGACGGATTACCAGGACGTGTACTCCGAGCATGTGCTGACCAACTGGCAAGTGTCTTCACTGACATTTTCAACATGTCCCTGACTGAGTCTGTAATACCAACATGTTTCAAGCAGACCACCATAGTCCCCGTGCCCAAGAACTCTAAGATAACCTGCCTAAATGACTACCGACCCGTGGCACTGACGTCTGTAGCCATGAAGTGCTTTGAAAGACTGGTCATGGCTCACATCAACAGCATAATCCCAGAAACCCTAGACCCACTCCAATTTGCATACCGCCCCAACAGATCCACAGATGATGCAATCTCTATCGCACTCCACACTGCCCTTTCCCACCTGGACAAGAGGAACACCTACGTGAGAATGCTATTCATTGACTACAGCTCAGCATTCAACACCATAGTGCCCTCAAAGCTCATCACTAAGCTAAGGATCCTGGGACTAAACACCTCCCTCTGCAACTGGATCCTGGACTTCCTGACGGGCCGCCCCCAGGTGGTAAGGGTAGGTAACAACACATCTGCCACACTGATCCTCAACACGGGGGCCCCTCAGGGGTGCGTGCTCAGTCCCCTCCTGTACTCTCTGTTCACCCATGACTGCATGGCCAGGCACGACTCCAACACCATCATTAAGTTTGCAGACGACACAACAGTGGTAGGCCTGATCACCGACAACGATGAGACAGCCTATAGGGAGGAGGTCAGAGATCTGGCCGTGTGGTGCCAGGACAACAACCTCTCCCTCAACGTGACCAAGACAAAGGAGATGATTGTGGACTACAGGAAAAAAAAGAGGACTGAGCACGCCCCCATTCTCATCGACGGGGCTGTAGTGGAACAGGTTGAGAGCTTCAAGTTCCTTGGTGTCCACATCACCAACGAACTATCATGGTCCAAACACACCAAGACAGTCGTGAAGAGGGCACGACAAAGCCTATTCCCCCTCAGGAGACTAAAAAGATTTGGCATGGGTCCTCAGATCCTCAAAAAATTCTACAGCTGCACCATCGAGAGCATCCTGACTGGTTGCATCACCGCCTGGTATGGCAACTGCTTGGCCTCTGACCGCAAGGCACTACAGAGGGTAGTGCGTACGGCCCAGTACATCACTGGGGCAAAGCTCCCTGCCATCCAGGACCTCTATACCAGGCGGTGTCAGAGGAAGGCCCTCAAAATTGTCAAAGACTCCAGTCACCCTAGTCATAGACTGTTCTCTCTGCTACCGCACGGCAAGCGGTACCGGAGTGCCAAGTCTAGGTCCAAAAGACTTCTCAACAGCTTCTACCCCCAAGCCATAAGACTCCTGAACAGCTAATCATGGCTACCCGGACTATTTGCACTGCCCCCCCACCCCATCCCTTTTACGCTGCTGCTACTCTGTTAAGTATTTATGCATAGTCACTTTAACTCTACCCACATGCACATATTACCTCAACTAGCCGGTGCCCCCGCACATTGACTATGCAACGGTACCCCCCTGTATATATAGCCTCCCTACTGTCACTTTATTCTATTGTATATATAGCCTCCCTACTGTCACTTTATTTTTTACTTCTGCTCTTTTTTTCTCAACACTTTTTTGTTGTTGTTTTATTCTTACTTTTTTTGTTTAAAATAAATGCACTGTTGGTTAAGGGCTGTAAGTAAGCATTTCACTGTAATGTCTGCACCTGTTGTATTCGGCGCATGTGACCAATAAAATTTGATTTGATTTGATTTGATATTATTAATGAGGATTATTTTAAGCACTGATGCGGTTTGTTCTAAACACTAATGCAATTATTTTATTCAGTGCAGATAATTCAAGGTTGTTGATGCTGTTCCCTATCTCTCTATCTATTCCCATGTGTGTGTGTGAATGAGAGAGAGCGAGAGAGGAAAGAAGAGAGAGAGAGACGGCCTGGGGTGAATAGAGGCCAGGCCAGCTTACCTGCTGCACCATGCTGAGATACGATCCATACCTTCAGTTGACTGTCCTGTCCACAGGAGGCCAATCGAAACTCCACTGAACTGAGATCTGTGGAGCAGAGGAACAAACCCGGCACATTAGCCCTCCATCAGAACAATAATGTTAACTTGTTTACAACCCATCACAATAGGACACAAATGACTGTTGCCTATCATTTGAACTGCTGGGCAACAATGACAATACATTTCAGGCAATTTCTAGAATTCAACTGTGACAATCATAAATGGATTGCATTGATAATAGGAACGGATTATGTTACTGATTGATGAAAGAGTAAATCATGTTTCACCAGTTTAATAAATGAATAGCTGTGAGCGATTGGAACATCTAATCATAATCAAACATTATAATCGTTATTTCTTTATTCAGGGCCCCACAGAGACTACAGTGAAGCTCTAGGAATGCCATAAAATAGGGGTTTCTAAATAAATCTACTTATAGTCTGAATTTGAACTCTCCATACTATGTCTGCGTCCCAAATGGCACCCTATTCCATTTATAGCTCACTACTTTTGACCAGGGCCCATAGGGACACACTGTCAGGTCCATAATTATTGGCACCTTTGATAAAGATGAGTAAAAAAAACGGTATAAATTAAATAATACAAATACTGAGCTACAGTGCCTTCAGAAAGTATTCATACCTCTTGACTTATTCCACATTTTGTTGTGTTACAGTCTGAATTCAAAATGAATAAATATATTTTTTCTCACCCATTTACACACAATACCCCATAATGACTATGTGAAAACATGTTTTTAGCCATTTTTCCAAATGTATTGAAAATGAAATACAGAAATATCTCATTTACATAAGTAGTCACTCCCCTGAGTGCATACAGTACATGTTAGAAACACCGTTGGTAGCGATTACAGCTGTGAGTCTTTCTGGGTAAGTCTAAGAGCTTTGCAAACCTGGAATTTACAATATTTTTTAATGATTCAAGCTCTGGCAAGTTGTTTGTTGGTCATTGCTAGACAGCCATTTTAAAGTCTGGATTGGAAACACACCTGTCTATATAAGGTCCCACAGTTGACAGTGTATCTCCAAGATAGAATTGTGATGAGGCATACAGTGGCTTGCGAAAGTATTCACCCCCCTTGGCATTTTTCCTATTTTGTTGCCTTACAACCTGGAATTAAAATTGATTTTTTGGTGGTTTGTATCATTTGATGTACACAACATGCCTACCACTTTGAAGATGCAAAATATTTTTTATTGTGAAACAAACAAGAAATAAGACAAAAAAAACTGAAAACTTGAGCGTGCATACAGTGGGGAAAAAAAGTATTTAGTCAGCCACCAATTGTGCAAGTTCTCCCACTTAAAAAGATGAGAGAGGCCTGTAATTTTCATCATAGGTGCACGTCAACTATGACAGACAAAATGAGAAAAAAAATCCAGAAAATCACATTGTAGGATTTTTAATGATTTTATTTGCAAATTATGGTGGAAAATAAGTATTTGGTCAATAACAAAAGTTTCTCAATACTTTGTTATATACCCTTTGTTGGCAATGACACAGGTCAAACATTTTCTGTAAGTCTTCACAAGGTTTTCACACACTGTTGCTGGTATTTTGGCCCATTCCTCCATGCAGATCTCCTCTAGAGCAGTGATGTTTTGGGGCTGTCGCTGGGCAACACGGACTTTCAACTCCCTCCAAAGATTTTCTATGGGGTTGAGATCTGGAGACTGGCTAGGCCACTCCAGGACCTTGAAATGCTTCTTACGAAGCCACTCCTTCGTTGCCCGGGCGGTGTGTTTGGGATCATTGTCATGCTGAAAGACCCAGCCACGTTTAATCTTCAATGCCCTTACTGATGGAAGGAGGTTTTCACTCAAAATCTCACGATACATGACCCCATTCATTCTTTCCTTTACACGGATCAGTCGTCCTGGTCCCTTTGCAGAAAAACAGCCCCAAAGCATGATGTTTCCACCCCCATGCTTCACAGTAGGTATGGTGTTCTTTGGATGCAACTCAGCATTCTTTGTCCTCCAAACACGACGAGTTGAGTTTTTACCAAAAACTTCTATTTTGGTTTCATCTGACCATATGACATTCTCCCAATCCTCTTCTGGATCATCCAAATGCACTCTAGCAAACTTCAGACGGGCCTGGACATGTACTGGCTTAAGCAGGGGGACACGTCTGGCACTGCAGGATTTGAGTCCCTGGCGGCGTAGTGTGTTACTGATGGTAGGCTTTGTTACTTTGGTCCCAGCTCTCTGCAGGTCATTCACTAAGTCCCCCCGTGTGGTTCTGGGATTTTTGCTCACTGTTCTTGTGATCATTTTGACCCCACGGGGTGAGATCTTGCGTGGAGCCCCAGATCGAGGGAGATTATCAGTGGTCTTGTATGTCTTCCATTTCCTAATAATTGATCCCACAGTTGATTTCTTCAAACCAAGCTGCTTACCTATTGCAGATTCAGTCTTCCCAGCCTGGTGCAGGTCTACAATTTTGTTTCTGGTGTCCTTTGACAGCTCTTTGGTCTTGGCCATAGTGGAGTTTGGAGTGTGACTGTTTGAGGTTGTGGACAGGTGTCTTTTATACTGATAACAAGTTCAAACAGGTGCCATTAATACAGGTAACGAGTGGAGGACAGAGGAGACTCTTAAAGAATAAGTTACAGGTCTGTGAGAGCCAGAAATCTTGCTTGTTTGTAGGTGACCAAATACTTATTTTCCACCATAATTTGCAAATAAATTCATTAAAAATCCTACAATGTGATTTTCTGGATTGTTTTTTCTCAATTTGTCTGTCATAGTTGATGTGTACCTATGATGAAAATTACAGGCCTCTCTCATCTTTTTAAGTGGGAGAACTTGCACAATTGGTGGCTGACTAAATAATTTTTTTCCCCACTGTATATGTACAGTGCATTCGGAAAGTATTCAGAGCCCTTCCCTTTTTCCACATTTTGTTACATTACAGCTTTATTCTAAAATCGATTAAATCAATTTTCCCCCTCAGTGAAAGGTTTGGACAGACCTCTTTATTTTGACTATTTTTTACATAGTAGAATAATAGTGAAAACATCAAAACTATGAAATAACACATATGGAATCACGTAGTAAACCAAAAAGTGTTAAACAAATCAAAATATATGTTATATTTGAGATTCTTCAAATAGCCACACTTTGCCTTGATGACAGCTTTGCACACTCTTGGCATTCTCTCAACCAGCTTCACCTGGAATGCTTTTCCAACAGTCTTGAAGGAGTTCCCAGATATGCTGAGCACTAGTTGGCTGCTTTTCCTTCACTCTGCGGTCCAACTCGTCCCAAACCATCTCAATTGGGTTGAGGTCGGGGGATTGTGGAGGCCAGGTCATCTGATGCAGCACTCCATCACTCTCCTTCTTGGTAAAATAGCCTTTACACAGCCTGGAGGTGTGTTGGGTCATTGTCCTGTTGAAAAACAAATGATAGTCCCACTAAGCCCAAACCAGATGGGATGGCGTATCGCTGCAGAATGCTGTGGTAGCCATGCTGGTTAAGTGTGCCTTGAATTCTAAATAAATCACCCCCACACTATAACACCTCCTCCTCCATGCTTTACGGTGGGAAATACACATGCGGAGATCATCCATTCACCCACACCGCGTCTCACAAAGACACAGCGGTTGGAAACAAAAATCTCAAATTTGGACTCCAGACCAAAGGACAAATTTCCACCGGTCTAATATCCATTGCTTGTGTTTCTTGGCCCAAGCAGGTCTCTTCTTCTTATTGGTGTCCTTTAGTAGTGGTTTCTTTGCAGCAATTAGACCATGAAGGACTGATTCATACAGTCCCCTCTGAACAGTTGATGTTGAGATGTGTGTTACTTGAACTCTGTGAAGCATTTATTTGGGCTGCAATTTCTGAGGCTGGTAACTGTAATGAACTTATCCTCTGCAGCAGAGGTAACTCTGGGCCTTCCATTCCTGTGGCGGTCCTCATGAGAGCCAGTTTCATCATAGCGCTTGATGGTTTTTGCGACTGCACTTGAAGAAACTTTCAAAGTTCTCAATTGGTAGAGCATGGCACTTGTAACGCCAGGGTAGTGGGTTCGATCCCCGGGACCACCCATACGTAAAAATGTATGCGCACATGACTGTAAGTCGCTTTGGATAAAAGCGTCTGCTAAATGGCATATTATTATAATATTATTAAATGTTCCGTATTGACTGACCTTCAAGTAATGATGGTCTGTCGTTTCTCTTTGCTTATTTGAGCTGTTCTTGCCATAATATGGACATCAGGTCTTTTACCAAATAGGGCTATCTTCTGTATACCTCCCCTACCTTGTCACAACACAACATTGGCTCAAACGCATTAAGAAGGAAAGACATTCCACAAATTAACTTTTAAGAAGGCACACCTGTTAATTGAACTGCATTCCAGGTGACTACTTCATGAAGCTGGTTGAGAAAATGCCAAGAGTGTGCAAAGCTGTCAAGGCAAAGGGTGGCTATTTGAAGAATCTCAAATATAAAATATATTTTGATTTGTTTAACACTTTTTTGATTACTACATGATTCCATATGTGTTATTTCATAGTTTTGATGTCTTCACTATTATTCTACAATGTAGAAAATAGTAAAACATTAAGAAAAACCCTTAAATGAGTAGGTGTGTCCAAACTTATTACAGGTACTGTAAGTATTCAGACCCTTTGCTATGAGACTCGAAATTGAGCTCAGTTGCATCCTGTTTCTATTTATCATCCTTGAGATGTTTCTACAACTTAATTGGAGTCCACCTGTGGTCATTTGAATTGATTGGACATGATTTGGAAAGGCACACACCAGTCTATATAAGGTCCCACTGTTGACAGTGCCAGTCAGAGCAAAAACCAAGCCATGAGGTCGAAGGAATTGTCCGTAGAGCTCCGAGACAGGATTGTGTCGAGGCACAGATCTGGGGAAGGGTACCAAAAAATGTATGCAGCATTGAAGGTCCCCAAGAACACAGTGGCCTCCATCATTCTTAAATGGAACCACCAAGACTCTTCCTAGATCTGGCCGCCCGGCCAAACTGAGCAATCGGGGGAAAGGGCCTTGGTCAGGGAGGTGGCCAAGAACCCGATGGTCACTCTGACAGTGCTCCAGAGTTCCTCTGTGGAGATGGGAGAACCTTCCAGAAGGACATCCATCTCTGCAGCACTCCACCAATCAGGTCTTTATGGTAGAGTGGCCAGACGGAAGCCACTCCTCAGTAAAAGGCACATGACAGCCCGCTTGGAGGTTGCCAAAAGGCACCTAAAGGACTCTCAGACCATGAGAAACAAGATTCTCTGGTCTGATGAAACAAAGATTGAACTCTTTGGCCTGAATGCCAAGCATCACGTCTGGAGGAAACCTGGCACCATCCCTACGGTGAAGCACGGAGGTGGCAGCATCATGCTGTGGGGATGTTTTTCAGAGGCAGGTACTGGGAGACTAGTCAGGATAGAGGGAAAGATGAATGGAGTAAAGTACAGAGAGATCCTTGGTGAAAACCTGCTCCAGAGCGCTCAGGACTTCAGACAGGGGGCGAAGGTTCACCTTCCAACAGGACAATGACCCTATGCACACAGCCAAGACAACGCAGGATTGGCTTTGGGACAAGTCTCTGAATGTCCTTGAGTGGACCAGCCAGAACCCGAACCTGAACCCGATCAAATATCTCTGGAGAGACCTTAAAATAGCTGTGCAGTGACACTCCCCATCCAACCTGACAGAGCTTGAGAGGATCTGCAGAGAAGTTGGGAGAAACTCCTCAAATACAGGTATGCCAAGCTTGTAGTGTCATACCCAAGAAGACTCAAGGCTGTAATCGCTGCCAAAGGTGCTTCAACAAAGTACTGAGTAAAGGGTCTGAATACTTATGTAAATGTGATCCGTTTTTTATTTTAATAAATGTGCAAAAATTTCTAAAAACCTGTTTTTGCTTTGTCATTATGGGGTATTGTGTGTAGATTGATTAAGGGGGAAAAACAATTTAATCAATTTTAGAATAAGGCTGTAACGTAACAAAATGTGGAAAAAGAAAAGGGGTCTTTCCAAATGCACTGTATATACGTTTTTTTTCTTTCAGTTGATACCTCAACTGGGCACTATCCCAATTTGTTGAAGAGAACAGTGACCCAAGGAGAGGATCAGGGACATAACTGTGCTATATTTTCATCTTACCAATGTCAAACTGGGGTGCAAACTGGCAGCAGGTCACCCCCATATCATGGGCATCCTTCTCTGCATAGAGCTGCTTCATGTCCAGATCCCACACTTTGATATCTCCAGATGTACATCCTGTCACAAACATCTGACCACACGGAGTGAAGCAGCACGCCGTCACCGTGGACTCTGTCACGGCCTTAGATCTGGGAAGTTGAACAATGGAATATGACGTACCATTTTAAAGAGTAGGCCTATATACACTGATTTGGTTGGAGCAATGAGGACAAGCAATATAATGCTTTATTTGAGATTATTGAAGCTCATTGGGATTATTATTGTATTTAAAATATGTTTATCATCATAGGATATGTCTGTACAATATTCCGTAGACCTATACATTTGTTTTTCATTACTATTAAGATTGGTTCTCTAACGCCATCAGGACAATGCATTATAGGGATTAGTCTCATGATCTATAACCTACTTGCGTAATTTCTTAGTGTGGAAATCCCAAAGGGCCAATGTTCCATCTGATGCCCCTGAAAGCAGGAGTGAGGAGTAGGGAGACAGCGAGCATACCCTGACCGGGCTGCGTCCAGGATGCTCTAATTTTGCCGTTACCTCACCTGTTGCCATACTCCAAATGATAGTTGAAGCGTCTGTGGAACAGGTGACCAGGTAGATGCCACATACACTGAAACTGCAGCAGTGAACTCCATAGCCATGGCCGGACAGAGGCGAAAACGGCAGCTCCGAGAAGTCATTGGTGTTATAGATGCGTATGGTCTTATCCCCGGAGCAAGTCGCCAGTAGTGTGGGGGAGAAAGCGCACCAATTGACTTCATCTCGATGGTCCTGGAGCGTGCAGATTAATGACACCATTTTGTCCCAGTAGATGTTATTCCTGTAAATAAAAGTGAACAACCTTAGCTTACACTAGGTGGCGCAAAACACCCAGGCATTAACGGAACCAAAATTCTGTAGGCATCACTGAATATAGAAATAATATGCAATAATACATAACACAGCAATACGCCATAATCAGGTAGGTAGGTGCTACTCTCAGGTGTGTGCATGTGTTAAATCATTAAAGATAAAGCGTTTTATTACTGATATTGTTAATATTACCAAATCGAAAACTAGAAATCTTTGAAAATAAGAGTCGCTTACCTTTCTTGACCTGTTATCAGCATGCAAGTGATGTTGGTGCCAGGTGGAGCTTACCTTTTGTACACAATAAACCTCATGACCGATTGTTCAACACGTGACACAGGACGTTGTTAGGTCAATGTGCAGTTGGTAGCCTAGGTAGGAAATGTCCTTATATTTACGAACATGTTTCTCAAATATGATATAGACTCTGTCGAGGTAGAAATGAATTGTAGCGCTCAACAAAAAAAGCAACGATTTCTTTATTTTAGCTCACTTTAATCCATTGTACAGGATGCGGACAGGTGACTGACGTTTCGACGTCAAGAGTGAACTGACCATTGGATTTAGCTCCTATATATAGCGTAGTGTCCCATTGAGACACAATGTAAGAACATATTAATGATAATGTTTCAAGGTAAATGGCAAATTATAGAACAAAATATTACTAATAATACGATAAACAGTGTGTCTCGTTAATCAATAGGCCATGTCAATACTGATACACTGAACAGAAATATAAATGCACCATGTGGTCCTCTGTAGCTCAGCTGGTAGAGCACGGCGCTTGTAACGCCAAGGTAGTGGGTTCGATCCCCGGGACCACCCATACACAAAAATGTATGCACGCATGACTGTAAGTCGCTTTGGATAAAAGCGTCTGCTAAATGGCATATTATTATTATGTAAAGTGTTGGTCCCATGTTTCATGAGCTGAAATAAAACAGCCCAGAAATTGTCCATACACACAAAAAGCTTATTTCGCTCAAATGTTTTGCACACATTTGTTTACATCCCTGTTAGTGAGCATTTCTCATTTGCCAAGATAATCCATCCACCTGACAGGTGTGACTTATCAAGAAGCTGATTAAACAGCATGATCATTATACAGGTGCATCTTGTGCTGGGGACAATAAAAGGCCACTCTAAAATGGGCAGTTTTGTCACACAACGCCACAGATGTCTCAAGTGTTGAGGGAGCATGCAATTGGTGCTGACTGCAGGAATGTCCACCAGAGCTGTAGCCAGAGAATTGAATCATTTCTCTACCAAAAGCCGCCTCCAACAATGTCAGAGAATTTGGCAGTATGTCCAACCGGCCTCACAACCACGTGTGTGGCGGTGTGTGGGCGAGCAGTTTGCTGATGTCAACATTGTGAACAGAGTGCCCCACGGTGGCGGTGGGGTTATGGTATGGGCAGGCACAAGCTCCAGGCAACAAACGCAATTGCATTTTATCGATGGCAATTTGAATGCACAGAGATACTGTGACGAGATCCTGAGGCCCATTGTCGTGCCATTCATCCGCCGCCATCATCTCATGTTTCAGCATGATAATGCACGGCTCCATGTCACAAGGATCTGTACACAATTCCTGAAAGCTGAAAATGTCCCAGTTCTTCCATGGCCTGCATACTCACCAGACATGTCACCCATTGAGCATGTTTGGGATGCTCTGGATCGACGCATACGACAGCGTGTTCCAGGTCCCGCCAATGTCCAGCAATTTCGCACAACCACTGAAGAGGATTGGGACAACAGTCCACAATCAACAGCCTGATTAACTCTATGCGAAGGAGATGTGTTGCGCTGTATGAGGCAAATGGTGGTCACACCAGATACTGACTGGTTTTCTGATCCACGCACCTACCTTTTTTTAGGGGGGGTATCTATGACCAACAGATGGTTATCTGTATTCCCAGTCATGTGAAGTCCATAGATTAGGGCCTAATGAATTTATTTCAATGGACTGGTTTCCTTATATGAACTGTAACTCTGTAAAATCTTTGAAATTGTTGCATGTTACGTTTATATTTTTGTTCAGTATACATCCAGTGCCTTCGGAAAGTATTCAGACCCCTTGACTTCCACATTTTGTTACATTACAGCCTTATTCTAAAACAGATAAAATAAATACAAATCCTCAGCAATCTACACACAATACCCCATAATGACAAAGCGAAAACAGGTTTTTAGACATTTTTGTAAATGTTTACAGTGAGGGAAAAAAGTATTTGATCCCCGGCTCATTTTGTACGTTTGCCCACTGACAAAGACATGATCAGCCTATAATTTTAATGGTAGGTTTATTTGAACAGTGAGAGACAGAATAACAACAACAAAAATCCAGAAAAACGCATGTCAAAAGTGTTATAAATTGATTTGCATTTTAATGAGGGAAATAAGTATTTGACCCCTCTGCAAAACATGACTTAGAACTTGGTGGCAAAACCCTTGTTGGCAATCACAGAGGTCAGACGTTTCTTGTAGTTGGCCACCAGTTTTGCACACATCTCAGGAGGGATTTTGTTCCACTCCTCTCTGCAGATCTTCTCCAAGTCATTGAGGCTGACGTTTGGCAACTCGAAACCTTCCGCTCCCTCCACAGATTTTCTATGGGATTAAGGTCTGGAGACTGGCTAGGCCACTCCAGGACCTTAATGTGCCTCTTCTTGAGCCACTCCTTTGTTGCCTTGGCCGTGTGTTTTGGTTCATTGTCATGCTGGAATACCCATCCAAGACCCATTTTCAATGCCCTGGCTGAGGGAAGGAGGTTCTCACCCAAGATTTGACGGAAATGGCCCCGTCCATCGTCCCTTTGATGCGGTGAAGTTGTCCTCTCCCCTTAGCAGAAAAACACCCCCAAAGCATAATGTTTCCACCTCCATGTTTGACGGTGGGGATGGTGTTCTTGGGGTCATAGGCAGCATTCCTCCTCCTCCAAACACGGCGAGTTGAGTTGATGCCAAAGAGCTCGATTTTGGTCTCATCTGACCACAACACTTTCACCCAGTTCTCCTCTGAATCATTCAGATGTTCATTGGCAAGGTTCAGACGGCCCTGTATATGTGCTTTCTTGAGCAGGGGGACCATGCGGGCGCTGCAGGATTTCAGTCCTTCACGGCGTAGTGTGTTACCAATTGTTTTCTTGGTGACTATGGTCCCAGCTGCCTTGAGATCATTGACAAGATCCTCCCGTGTAGTTCTGGGCTGATTCCTCACCGTTCTCATGATCATTGCAACTCCACGAGGTGAGATCTTGCATGGAGCCCCAGGCCGAGGGAGATTGACAGTTATTTTGTGTTTCTTCCATTTGCGAATAATCGCACCAACTGTTGTCACCTTCTCACCAAGCTGCTTGGCGATGGTCTTGTAGCCCATTCCAGCGTTGTGTAGGTCTACAATCTTGTCCCTGACATCCTTGGAGAGCTCTTTGGTCTTGGTCATGGTGGAGAGTTTGGAATCTGATTGATTGATTGCTTCTGTGGACAGGTGTCTTTTATACAGGTAACAAGCTGAGATTAGGAGCACTCCCTTTAAGAGTGTGCTCCTAATCTCAGCTCGTTACCTGTATAAAAGACACCTGGGAGCCAGAAATCTTTCTGATTGAGAGGAGGTCAAATACTTATTTCCCTCATTAAAATGCAAATCAATTTATAACATTTTTGACATGTGTTTTTCTGGATTCTTTTGTTGTTATTCTGTCTCTCACTGTTCAAATAAATTTACCATTAAAATTATAGACTGATAATTTCTTTGTCAAACGTACAAAATCAGCAGGGAATCAAATACTTTTTTCCCTCACTGTATATCTTTTTTTTATTACAATATTTACATAGGTATTCAGACCCTTTGCTATGAGACTCGAAATTGAGCTCAGGTGTATCCTGTTTCCATTGATCAACCTTGAGATGTTTCTACAAATTGATTGGAGTCCAACTGTGGTAAATTCAATTGACTGGACATGATTTAAAAAGGCACACACTTGTCTATATAAGGTCCCACAGTTGACAGTGCATGTCAGAGCAAAAACCAAGCCATGAGGTCGAAGGAATTGTCCGTAGAGCGCCGAGACAGGATTGTGTCGAGGCACAGATCTGGGGAAGGGTACCAAAACATTTCTGCAGCATTGAAGGTCCCCAAGGACCCAGTGGCCTCCATTATTCTTAAATGGAAGAAGTTTGGAACCACCAAGATTCTTCCTAGATCTGGCCTCCTGGCCACACTGAATAATCAGGGGAGAAAGGCCGTGGTCAGGGAGGTGACCAAGAACCCAATGGTCACTCTGACAGAGCACCAGAGTTCCTCTGTGGAGATGAACGGAGCAAAGTACAGAGATCCTTGATGAAAACCTGCTCCAAAGCGCTCAGGACCTCAGACTGGGGCGAAGGTTCACCTTCCAACAGGACAACGACCCTAAGCACACAGTCAAGACAACGCAGGAGTGGCTCTGGAACAAGTCTCTGAATGTCCTTGAGTGGCCCAGCCAGAGCCCGGACTTGAACCCGATCTAACATCTCTGGAGAGACCAGAAAATAGCTGTGCAGCGACGCTCCCCATCCAACCTGACAGAGCTTGAGAGGCTCTGCAGAGAAGAATGGGAGAAACTCCCCAAATACAGGTGTGTCAAGCTTGTAGTGTCATTTCAGTTATTTTTTATTTTTATAAATTAGCAAACATTTCTAAAAAACAGTTTTTGCTTTGTCATTATGGGGTATTGTGTGTAGATTGATGAGGTGGAATAAACGATTTAATCAATTTTAGAATAAGGCTGTAACCTAACAAAATGTGGAGAAAGTCAAGGGGTCTGAATACTTTCCAAAGGCACTGTAGGTGATTGGTGATATTTGGGTGTCTGTGAATCTGGAGACAGAGACCCAAGCAATCAATCTCTGCCTTTTTTGTTGAGCGCTCCAACTCCTTTCTACCTCGAATTAGTCCTTTTGGAAGTTTTTCTTGGAATGCCCTTCTCATGATTTTTGTCATTGTTGTTGAGCACCCCTCCTTTCCTTTGTTTGCTAAAAGCGAGAACTCTGATATAGAATCTCTTTAGACAAATCTAGTAATAATGACATTGACAATGACATTGCTAAATACCAGGCCTACAGTATGTTTTGTACTGAGTGTACAAAACAGTAGGAACACCTCTTTCCATGACAGACTGACCAGGTGAAAGCTGTGATTCCTTATTGATGTCACTTGTTAAATCCACTTCAATCAGTGTAGCTGAAGGGGAGACAGGTTAAATAAGGATTTGTAAGACATGGATTGTGTATGTGTGCCATTCAGAGGTTGAATGGGCAAGACAAAATATTTAAGTGCCTTTGAACGTGGTATGGTAGGTTTGAGTGTGTCAAGATCTGCAACGCTGCTGGGTTTTTCACGCTCAACAGTTTCCCGTGTGTATCAAGAATGGTCATCCAGCCAACTTGACACAACTGTGGGAAGCATTGGAGTCAACATGGGCCAGCATCCCTGTGGAATGCTTTCGACACCTTGCCTCGACGAATTGAGGCTGTTATGAGGGCAAAAGGGGGTGCAACTCAATATCAGGAAGGTGTTCTTAATGTTTTGTACACTCAGTGTATAGGTATGTTCTAAGAGGACAAAGCCTAGATATCCTACCAACATAAATGTTTGTAGTATGGAAATATGACGGAACGCAAAATACAGAGTTGAAAAAGATCATTTTTATTAGATCCGTGCCCCACACACTAGTGAAAAATAATGCTCCTACAAAATAATTATACTTTTCCCCACAATATTCATAAATAAAATAACTTCAAGAACTCTGACTCAGGTACAAAAAGAACTGCTCTACATGCCACCAGTAGGCCATGACACACAGCAAGATTCAAACACAGTGGTTATTACAAACGTCCTGTGTCCTTGGGTCTGTGGGAAAGCAAATGGAGAGAACTGCTTTTATGAAAGGTACTGTGCATCGCAATGGATTCTATACTGATGATATTCATGTCAGAATTCAGAGTTGACATTTTGTATACTGGTATACACACACACACACACACACACACACACACACACTCACAAAGGAATACTAAACCAAAAGATTGAAATAATATCCTCCACACACCTTTTGTAGGGGAAGGAACTACCCAGATTGAAGAGACCACAGTGTTTGCAGAGGATATACATTACAGGTTATATACATGTATTTATCACTTAAGACTGAAATTAAACGCTACAATCATAGGCATAAACAATATCGGATTTCTTGTAACAATACTGTATGTACACATATTACAAACAATAATTAATATTAACATTAATGAACAGTATATACAGATGTGTCATTGCTGCCTCACTGTCCGTGTGAAGTTAGCGAGCAATGCAAACATACATGGAAATGCAGTGTTACAGTATTAACGTCATGAATCTTGTGGTACCTTGGAGGCACAGAGCAGTGTAAACAATTCCTTTTTTTTCTCTTGGCTTTTGTTTTATGTCCAAAAAACATTCTGTAAGATTTGTTAAAGCAGTTTAGCTTTTTTCTTCCTTTTCTTAGAAAACTAAGACTGAACCATTTTCACTCATGAATAATAATTGACAAAATTAAATACATTCACTTTAATATTAATGATAAAAAACTATAAGTACAGTTAGTTGGAAAGTTTTTGTTCCCAGTTACAACTCTGATGTGGTTTCTTCTAGGAAATGGTATTGCACTTTAAAAACATCCACCCCTTTTGAAACCCTTTGGATGCATTTCTCTGCTAAAGAAAACCCCCAGCATTCTACTGTATATCAGTGAAGTGAATGTGTAGATTTAAAATTATAAATTAATTTAGGTTCCCTGGTTGCTGATGGAGAGACTTGAGCCTGAAGTCTTGAAGACGATCTTCAGACCAATCCAGGTGCTCTGCTTGTGGTTACTGCTGGTCCCATACAGCATAGTGAGGATAAAGTAGTTAAAACAAGCCTAGTTGGTTTGTTTTAACAGCTCAGTCCATCTCTTCTCAAAAAAACTCCTCATGTTATGTCCGGCTCGCCCAATGTCCGAATTGTCTTCATTAAACCTTTCGCAGTTATCAAACACCAAGTTGACGTCGATTATAAACGTCTCGAGGTTCAAGTACCTGTAAATTGACACATAACATTTAATGATGACATTTATGAGACAGAATCATATAGGTATCAGACACACTGTATGCAGATCATTTTTCATACTAATATTGTATGGTACGTACTGGCTGTTGACAAGCTTCTCTCGGATAGTGTAGAAGTCCATGGGTTTCCTGATGACTTTCTTGTAGCCAGGGACAGATTTGGGGTTGACAGGGTTCAGGAAGGGCCAGGCATCCTGGTGACCCTCCAGCTCAACCAGGAGCACCCTATAGAGAACAAGGAGTCAACAAATCGATGAACCTCAGATTAACTATGGTACAGCATGGAAATGCATTACATACTACAGCAGCTAGTGTATGTTAGCCTGAGTACCAGCCTGTTTATGATACCATGGCAACTGGGGCCGGGACGTTAACAGTATCACGATACTCGTTAGTATCGTGGCAAGGAAACAAAACAGAAAGCAGATTTAATTTCTTTAGGAAAACAGCCCTAATGTTGCACACAATAGTTTACATAGAGCAGGTTTTTAAAGGACCAAAGACTTAGTTCTGCGTCAGGTTTTCATTTTTGCCATGGAAAAAATATTGCGACACAGCCCTATTGCCAACTCCCCGTCACTCATTGTCATGCCAAACATGTTTGTCTTGACAATGACCGCAATGGAGTTGGCAAGCACTCAAACAGATCTGGGACCAGTGTAAGTGTATGTCACTTACTGGGTCAATATATTATTATAATAATGGTGCAACCGCAGTCATTCTGTACCTGCACAACATCAGATCCTTTTCATTGTCTCTGGCTGATGTGGCCGTCTTAGCCTTCTTCACACAGATGGGACTACTGTCTTGCTTGGACTGGTTGGTAGCTGGGCTCCCCTCTCCTGGGCTCTTCCTCTTTTTGGGCTCTTTGCTCCCTTTCTTTGGCGTGCTGCTGCTGGTGCTGGCAGCATCGTCCTCAGAGACCTCTCCGCTGGCTACAGATGAAGGTTTCCTGCTCCGTTTTACCTCAGTGGTTCTCTTCCCTCCTCGCCCGGCTGCTCCCGCTCGGCTCTGCTGCGGCTTCTTATTCTTGGGGGATTGACCGCTCGCCTGAATGACACAAAATATGCTGAGTGGAGGCATTTCGCATTTACGGAGGATCACACTTGTCATTGATGAATTTAATTAATATGAGGGTGCGGTGAGATACCCAATGGGTTGGACCATACTTTTCTCGTCAATCATTTAGAAAAATGTTTTACTTAAACTGGAAATCAAATTATCATCGTTAAGACAGTGGAAGAATCAAATGCATTATTATTTAAATATTGAAAAGGTGTGGGCGACAGAAAAACAGAATAGCTCAATTTGAAAGCCATATGGCATAGTCTTACAAGTACTGGAGATAGATGCGGTGGGAACATGTGGGTCTGGGCAGGTGTGATGTCATTGTTTGTGTGCGTCTGTCTGTTGTCTGTATATGTTTATACAGTGAGCTCCAGAAGTATTGGGACAGTGACGCATTATTTGTTGTTTTGGCTCTGTACTCCAGCACTTTGGATTTGAAATGATACAATGACTGAGGTTAAAGTGCAGACTGTCTTTAATTTGTTTTGGTTGTGTTTCAGAAGATTTTTTGCCTAATAGAAATGTATGGTAAATAATGTATTGTGTCATTTTGGAGTTACTTTTATTGTAAATAAGAATATAATATGTTTCTAAACACTTCTACATTCTATTTTTATTTACAATAAAAGTGACTCCAGAATGACACAATACATTATTTACCATTCATTTCTATTGGGCACAAAATAATCTGAAACACTACCAAAACAAACAGAAAATGCACCCAACAAGTTTGTAGAGTCAAAAGCTTGGGGTCTGAATACATTTCCGAAATGCACTGTACTTCAAATAAACACGTACCACTTTCATGATGGATCTCTCCCAGGCAATGGACTTCTGGAGCTGCTGGATGCAGAGAGACAGTTGGGCGGCGCTGCGGACCTCGCCCATGGCCTTGCGCCATGCCTTCATGCCCGGGGCCAGTTCCTCTTCCCCCCTGAGAGGATGTAGACAGACAAAGTGATCAGAGGACCAGCCACTCACAACATCACATAGAACAATCAGAAACACTGCCAACAGCAGTGCACAGAAAGCCACGAGAGTGGAAGAGTGTTTTGGTCAAAGTAGACATGGTTAAGAGATACTGTACAAGACTCCACAGACCAGGTGACTGACCTGCTTCATAGTAGGGATGGGCATTTGACATTATTTCACTATTAGAATAATATCATGACATTAGTTCAAATATCCAGGTAGTCGAAAAAAAGCTCTCATCTCTCTTGACCAATTAGAATGACGCAAATGCACATGGCAGAGGTAAACAGCGGACCGGCTGTTTTTCTCCGGTAGTTTTTCGCTAAAGCAAGTTGGCAGGTAGCCTAGCGGTTTAGACCGTTGGGCCAGTAACCGAAAGGTCGCTGGTTCGAATCCCCGAGCAGACTTGGTGAAAAATCTATAATTGTGCCCTTGAGCAAGGCACTTAACCCTAATTGCTCATGTAAGTCGGTCTGGATAAGAGCATCTGGTAAATGACTAGTCTGATTTTCACCATTATAGAATCGATATTGTTACAAAAATGTTATCTGGTGAGTGTTTTCCATTGATTTGTGTCAGGTCTTGTGGAAACTCTTAGGTGTGCACCTGTAATTGCTATTTGAAGTGGGGAAAATAGCATACCGATGTCAGCTCAGACTGTAGGGCTAAATGCGCAGCCGTAGCTCAACACACAGTTATAAAAACTACATTCAAATGTTTGTTTAATTAAAGGAAGTCTTTAAAATGTCATGGTATAACCTTGTAGGTAACAATATCACTCATAGATACAGTTGAAGTCGAAAGTTTACATACACTTAGGTTGGAGTCATTTAAACTCGTTTTTCATCCACTCCACAAATTTCTTGTTAACAAACTATAGTTTTGGCAAGTCAGTTAGGACATATATTTTGTGCATGACACAAGTAATTTTTCCAACAATTGTTTACAGACAGATTATTTCACTGTATCACAATTCCAGTGGGTCAGAAGTTTACATACACTAAGTTGACTGTGTCGTTAAACAGCTTGTAAAATTCCAGAAAATTATGTAATGGCTTTAGAAGCTTCTGATAGGCTAATTGACATAATTTGAGTCAATTGGAGGTGTACATGTGGATGTATTTCAAGGCCTACCTTCAAACTCAGTGCCTCTTTGCTTGACATCATGGGAAAATCAAAAGAAATTAGCCAAGACCTCAGAAAAACAATTGTAGACCTCCACAAGTCTGGTTCATCCTTGGGAGCAATTTCCAAATGCCTGAAGGTACCACGTTCATTTGTACAAACAATAGTACGCAAGCATAAACACCATGGGACCATGCAGCCATCATACCGCTCAGGAAGGAGACGCGTTCTGTCTCCTAGAGATGAACGTACTTCGGTGCGAAAAGTGCAAATCAATCCCAGAATAACAGCAAAGGACCTTGTGAAGATGCTGGAGGAAACAGGTACAAAAGTATCTATATCCACAGTAAAACGAGTCCTATATCAACATAACCTAAAAGGCAGCTCAGCAAGGAAGAAGCCACTGCTCCAAAACCACCATAAAAAAGCCAGACTACGGTTTGCAACTGCACATGGGGACAAAGATCGTACTTTTTGGAGAAATGTCCTCTGGTCTGATAATGACCATCGTTATTTTTGGAGGAAAGGAGGGGGTGGGGGGCCTTGCAAGCCGAATAACCCCATCCCAACCGTGAAGCACGGTGGTGGCAGCATCATGCTGTGGGGGTGCTTTGCTGCAGGAGGGTCTGGTGCACTTCACAAAATAAATGGCATCATAAGTGGAAGGAAAATTATGTGGATATATTGAAGCAACCTCTCAAGACATCAGTCAGGAAGTTAAAGCTTGGTCGCAAATGGGTCTTCCAAATGGACAATGACCCCAAGCATACTTCCAAAGTTGTGGCAAAATGGCTTAAGGACAACAAAGTCAAGGTATTAGAGTGGCCATCACAAAGCCCTGACCTCAATCCTATAGAACATTTGTGGGCAGAACTGAAAAAGCGTGTGCGAGCAAGGAGGCCTACAAACCTGACTCAGTTACACCAGCACTGTCAGGAGGAATGGGCCAAAATTCACCCAATTTATTGTGGGAAGCTTGTGGAATTCTACCCGAAACGTTTGACCCAAGTTAACCAATTTAAAGGCAATGCTACCAAATACTAATTGAGTGTATGTCAACTTCTGACCCACTGGGAATGTGATGAAATACATAAAAGCTTAAATAAATCACTCTACTATAATTCTGACATTTCAATTTCTTAAAATAAAGTGGTGATCCTAACTGACCTAAGACAGGGAATTTTTACTAGGATTAAATGTCAGGAATTATGAAAAACTGAGTTTAAATGTATTTGGCTAAGGTGTACAGTGAGGGAAAAAAGTATTTGATCCCCTGCTGATTTTGTACGTTTTCCCACTGACAAAGACATGATCAGTGTATCATTTTAATCGTAGGTTTATTTGAACAGTGAGAGACAGAATAACAACAGAAAAATCCAGAAAAACGCATGTCAAAAATGTTATAAATTGATTTGAATTTTAATGAGGGAAATAAGTATTTGACCCCTCTGCAAAACATGACTTAGTACTTGGTGGCAAAACCCTTGTTGGCAATCACAGAGGTCAGACGTTTCTTGTAGTTGGCCACCAGGTTTGCACACATCTCAGGAGGGATTTTGTCCCACTCCTCTTTGCAGATCTTCTCCAAGTCATTAAGGTTTCAAGTCATTAAGGTTGACTTCAGCTCCCTTCACAGATTTTCTATGGGATTAAGGTCTGGGGACTGGCTAGGCCACTCCAGGACCTTAATGTGCTTCTTCTTGAGCCACTCCTTTGTTGCCTTGGCCGTGTGTTTTGGGTCATTGTCATGCTGGAATACCCATCCACGACCCATTTTCAATGCCCTGGCTGAGGGAAGGAGGTTCTCACCATAGATTTGACGGTACATTGCCCCGTCCATCGTCCCTTTGATGAGGTGAAGTTGTCCTGTCCCCTTAGCAGAAAAACACCCCCAAAGCATAATGTTTCCACCTCCATGTTTGACGGTGGGGATGGTGTTCTTGGGATCATAGGCAGCATTCCTCCTCCTCCAAACACGGCGAGTTGAGTTGATGCCAAAGAGCTCCTTTTTGGTCTCATCTGACCACACCACTTTCACCCAGTTCTCCTCTTAATCATTCAGATGTTCATTGGCAAACTTCAGACGGGCATGTATATGTGCTTTCTTTAGCAGGGGGACCTTGCGGGCGCTGCAGGATTTCAGTCCTTCACGGCGTAGTGTGTTACCAATTGTTTTCTTGGTGACTATGGTCCCAGCTGCCTTGAGATCATTGACAAGATCCTCCCGTGTAGTTCTGGGCTGATTCCTCACCGTTCTCATGATCATTGCAACTCCACAAGGTGAGATCTTGCATGGAACCCCAGGCCGAGGGAGATTGACAGTTATTTTGTGTTTCTTCCATTTGCGAATAATCGCACCAACTGTTGTCACCTTCTCACCAAGCTGCTTGGCGATGGTCTTGTAGCCCATTCCAGCCTTGTGTAGGTTTACAATCTTGTCCCTGACATCCTTGGAGAGCTCTTTGGTCTTGGCCATGGTGGAGAGTTTGGAATCTGATTGATTGATTGCTTCTGTGGACAGGTGTCTTTTATACAGGTAACAAGCTGAGATTAGGAGCATTCCCTTTAAGAGTGTGCTCCTAATCTCAGCTCGTTACCTGTATAAAAGACACATGGGAGCCAGAAATCTTTCTGATTGAGAGGGGTCAAATACTTATTTCCCTCATTAAAATGCAAATCAATTTATAACATTTGTGACATGCATTTTTCTGGATTTTTGTTTTGTTATTCTGTCTCTCACTGTTCAAATAAACCTACCATTAAAATTATAGACTGATCATTTCTTTGTCAGTGGGCAAACGTACAAAATCAGCAGGGGATCAAATACTTTTTTCCCCTCACTGTATGTAAACTTCCGACTTCAACTGTACATTCAGGCTGCCGTGGTGAGTCAATGAGTTGACATAGAACCACGGTTACCAGTGTGATGCAGAGCTACAGTAAAGACTGGCTTCCAAAGAGACAGATACAACCACCTACATTAAGGGACATCACAAACGAAGCAAAACCACAACGCACACATCAGCAAAAGAGAGGAGGGAGAGAGAAACAGGCAAGACAGCGAAATAACAAAATAGGCTCCAGTGAAGCAGAGGGAAGCCCAACGAAGTGTTCAAATGGGAATCTGGATGAACCTACCCTTCACCATTACTACTAGATTACTTCTTCACTACTAGATGGTGTGGGAGCAGGGACAGTGAATGTACCCAGCACATTATCCAGTTTGACCTGAATGGTGGTACTTAAGGGGCTCTTCGGGTACCTTCGCTCGATGTTCCTCTCCAGCTCGGCTAGCCGTGTTACAGCTATATCTAGGGGGTTGTTCACGCGCCGCACCAGGCTGCAGCCGCCGTTGGCCTCCTTCTCCCCTGCAGGCTGCTCCTCTCCTGCTAGAAGCAGCTTAGTGAAGGGCTTGTGTTCATGGTAGACCAGTTCCTCTCTCTCTGACTGGGGCTCAGGATACATCCAACCCTGGGAGGAAATAGGAAGTGAAAAACAACAGTAGTTTGTGTGTGCGTGCTGAAGGAAGGAACACTTTATTCAGCGTAGTCTTTCGTCATTGCAGATAGATTCCTTCTCCACTACATACCACATGGATACAGTGCTATAAAAGGATGTACTGTACCTTGACCTGCAGGCTGGCCGAAGTGACCTTCCTCTCCAGCTCCTCCACCTGCTGCAGCACAGCGATGTCCATCTCCATGGCCTGCTCCTCCACACACCAGCTCTCCACTGTCTCCTCGCCCATCCCGTTCTCCTCCAGCTTGGACTTGTCTATCACCGCCGCTGAAGAGAGGGAGGGAAGGAGGGAGGGAGGGAAAGAGAGGGAGGGAAAGGGAGATCCACAGAGAGAGACAGAGACCCAGAGAGAGAGAGACAGAGACACAGAGAGAGAGAGAGAGAGAGAAAGAGAGAGAGCGAGAGAGACAGAGAGAGAGAGACAGGGAGAGAGACAGAGAGAGAGACAGAGACAGAGAGAGACAGAGAATGAGAGAGACAGAGAGCGAGAGAGACAGAGACAGAGACAGGTTAATAGGGATCAACTCAAGACCCCCCCAAAACACATTGTTTTCTAAAACCAAGTTTACTACAGTTATTGTATCTTAGTATGTACTGTGAAGTTTGAGAAGGATATTTTCTAATATAGGGATGCAGTGTTTCCCCTGCCATTTGTATTGGGGCGGCGGGCTCCCCTTCTTAGCTCTGTAGAGATGCATGCAGACAATCTTCAGTTTAGAATATATTTGGCATCGAAGTTACAGAATTCAAAGCCGTCAGACAGCATCATTCAATCACGCCAACATGCTGTAAGTGATTGTGAACCTAAGGAATGGTGGTAAAGATCATGTTAGCTCTGAATGATGCATCTGAACAGTCCACTCTCTCCCTGCAGTGTGTTGACATTTCAGTATAATTTTAAAACCAAGGTCATGCATGCTACCACATCATTAAAGGTCAGATTTAAAGAGTCACAAGATACTTTGGACATCTATAAGGACTCATTTTGAAATGGCACTCTATTCCCTTTATAGTGCACTGTATCACCCTATTCCCTATGGGCCCTGGTCAAAAGTAGTGCACTTTATAAGGAATTGGGTGTCATTTGAGAATTCTATGTGTTAACCCTAGTCTAAACCACTCACCATCTCTGTTTTTGGCGCAGGCCTGTGCAATGTACTCCATGTGTTTCTGGATCTGTTTCTGCAGGGCCCGCTCTCTGATACCTCTGCTGTGTAAGGCCTTGACCAGGCTCCTCAACTCCTCCATGTCTGCCACTCTCCACCAGCCTGATAGCATTTCTGCAACACACACACACGTAAGTTAATAAGACTTCTGTAAATAAAATCCATGACAACACATAATGAAAATTATTGGCAGCCACTTAAAATCCTGAATGTGTTGTGTCATCTCCCATCTTTCCTATCAGCGGGTGGCAGTGTGCCATGCTTACCCTCTGGGATGGGCAGTGGGTCGGGGTAGTCCTGGGTCTTGGCCACCTCCACCACAGGGGACGGGGCAGAGGGGGGCTTCTCTCCAGGGGGCACTGGGGACTCAATCTTGCTGCTGGAGAGGCTGGCTGCTGCCAGGAAGGGGTTGCCATTACCCTCCACATGGTGGTAGGCAGCGCCCAGCATGGAGGGGGGCAGTGGACTGGTTGAGAAGGGCAGGGTGGGGATCATCATGCCACCGGGCCATCCACAGAATGGCAGACCCATCATATGGACACCAGACTTCACCTGCTTGGAGGAGTTCATGAACCAGAGAATTGCACAGACAGTGGTGAGGAGTGTGAATGTTATGTAGCAGATCTTGGTTCACTGACAACTAGCACAAATACCGTCCATAAATAAAGCTATAATAAAAAGGAACATTGCTAAAGAATAAAATCAGACATGAACATAAGGGGGTCGTTTCCTAGAGACAGATTAAGCCTAATCCAGGACTAAAAAGCATTTTAAAAATGGAGATGCTCCATGCTTTTGAGTCCAGGACAGGCACTCATGTGTCCGGGAAATCAGTACTTTTGATATGGGACAACATCAAAAGCCTGCCTGGTATGCCTGTCATTAGCAATATGCTTACACCATGTTAACAATAATCCTAGAGGATCAGAGATGGAGATATGGTGCAGGGCCTCTACCTGGAGAGCTGAAAAAGGGAAGTTATTGATCCCGGTGGCGGGGTTGCTGGGGCTGGCTGAGGTGGAGGCTAGGGGATGAGGGGACAGGGAGGAGGAGGCTGGGGGGGTGGTGGTGGAGCTGGTGGTGACAGACGACTCGTCACACGGGGAGCGGGGCAGCAGGCTGAACCAGTGGCAGCTCTTCTCCGTCAGCACCCTGAATAGCTGGTCATTGGGCTGGAGCTGCTGCTGCTGGGGGCTGGAGGACTTCTTCCCTGGGCCGCTGCTGAGGTAGCGCGGGCTGAGGAGAGCTGTGGAAAGCTCTGCTTTCACCTCTGAACACAGCGGAGAGGGAGCTGCACAGGGGTTGCTGGGTAGTGTAGTCTGAGTGGTGGGGCGGATAGGGGAGGATACTGTGGTGGGGAATTTGGCTGGATTACAGCTCAGACTGTGAGGGTGGTTGTCTGAGTCCGGGGACATCTTGGCCACGTCCAGGAGTTTGCTGAGTTTGGAGAAGGAACCAGGCTTCTGGAGGAAGAGGTTGAGGGTGTGTTTGTCTGGTGTGTCGGTGTGCCTGTCACTGCTACCCTCCAGGGTGGACGCCCCTAGCCTCCCCTTCACCTCCTGTGGCCTCCTTTCCACCTCCTCCTCCTTCACCTGGACCAGCTCTGTGCTCCTCAGTCTCTCTCTCTCCTTCTCCAGCTCCTCTGCTCCTGGAAAATATAGTAATATTATTAACCACAGTTATAGAAAGTGAGATACCCAAATTCACGTGTATCATATATAGACCGATCTGAAGCCATGTCACAAGAAGAAGAAGCTGAATTGGGTTAGCCAAATGAACTATAATATCCCAATAGTAAGTTGATAAAGTAAGTAGAAACAAGTGTGGTGCCTGTATGTCATGTCAGTGTTTTAAGTCTCACCTTCGCCACTCTCCATACCCTCCACAAAGATGCCCCCACACTGTGGCAGCACCCAGTAACGGCGCTTGTAGCGGTCCTGGCCGAACATCATGGAGCGCAACGAGTGGGACGACTCAAACAGCTTCCGTCTGATCTGACTCTGTTGCTAGAGAGAAAACACAAATGGTATCAAGGCTGAGGTCTTTTCTGCCCGGAAACTGACCCTCATAAAAAACTCCCTCTGATCCCATTGGGTATCAAAATCCCTTTACCTTGGTTAATTTGTCGATCTGTTTCTCCAGCTCCTCTACACTGGCTGTCTGGTCTCCATCATACTAGATGGAAAGATCACATTCATTTGACACTAGAGGAGTGGCTGACATTTACAATAGACAAACAATGACTAAGGTTGTGTCCCAAATGACATCCTATTCACTATGTAGTGCACTACTTTTGACTAGGGCTCTGGTAAAAAGTAGTGCACTAAAGTGAATAGGTTGCCATTTGGGACAAATCCATTGTCATTTGGTTCAGTGGCTAGATCCTGTGGAAAGGTGACAATTTCCTCACTGACCTCATCCTCCACTTTCTTCCCTTTCTTCCCTCGCTCCTCCTCCTCCTCCTCCTCATCGTCTTCATCCCCCTGGTCCTCGCTGTCCTCGTCATCATCCTCGTCCTCCTCGCTGTCCCCTCCTTTCCTCTTGCGTTTGCGTCCTGGGGTGGGTGTACCAAGGGACTGGGTTTCCTCTCCCCCCACACTGCTGTCCCTCTTCCCCGTCTTCTTTGCATGGATGGTCCTCAGCCTGGAACAAGACAATCAGCAGGAGGATAAGAGTGCCAAATGTTTTCCTAAGCTTTAGTATCTACTCTACTATATAAAAACATTTGAAAAGCTTAAACATTCAAAACATTCCAATCAAATCCACATTTATTTGAAGTGGAATTTCAAACAAGTCTGTCACAATACAAAATAACAAATTGGAGGGACAACAGCAAATTCTGTTATGATATCTTTCATTTTTCACTGAACACCCATTAGGTAATACAGGTCTATTAATGCATGTCCACACAGCCTTCTCCTGAGTGCTCCTTGAGATGGCTCAGGTGCTCACTTGCGAAGTGTGCCCTCGATGACCCACTTGTCCCGTCGCAGGTTGGTCATGTGATCGATGTTCTTGTCGATCTCACTGTAAAAAAGCACGAAGCACCAATTTTAGATAGATCGACTTTGTTAAACAATGCAAAAAAGGTGAAGTAAGGTTTTAGTTGCACAATTTTACTTGAGCAACAAGATTGTATTTTAAAGCATTGCCAGTTGTCACATAATCTACCTCATGCAACCCAATGAAACGCTCCATGACAACACAACTCTTTCTTTTGATATTAGAGGTAGAACACAATAAATGCAAGTCCCAATTAATAAAACAGTACTATGTCCTGCAAAACCCGCTTTATGCTCAAAGATGAGTGATACAGGCATCAATCAGCAAAACAAATCTGTGCTCAGAATAACATTGGGCTATATTCAATCCACATCGCGTGATTTACATTTAAAGGCAATGCTTTAGCGGAGACTGCATTCACGGTAAATGCTGCATATGTCGGCTCAGTCGGAAACTACCTTTACATTTCTATTGCGGAATCTGTAACGCTTCAGCTTTACAGATTGAATAGAGCCCTTAATAATTTTTTGTATGGACACTGAACAACATCAAATATTAACAAAGTAGTTTCCCACATGCAAGCCTAAAGCACTTAACTTGACATCATTTGTCTAAATAGTTCAACTTAGCAGTGTTGTGATCTAGATAGCAGAGCTGCTGTGACTAGAGTTCAGTGTCCTCTCTTACCTGACAACACTCTTACTGCAGGACAGCTCGTTGACCAGGAAGGCCAGGACCGAGGCCTTCTGTGTGGCCGTGTGGGCCTGGAAGGCCTTGGTCTTCAGACTGGCCGTGACCTCCCCCAGATCAGTCTGCAGCTCCGTCCCCCCACAGTGAGCCTCCATGTAGATCTGCAGCACCTCCGACACGTTGTCCCGGTTGATGCCCACGTTACTCAGGTGGTCCCCCAGGGCCGTCTTCGTCTGGTGGGGCGGAGAGGGACATATATTGGTAACACTTTATTTGGATAGTCCCAAGAAGATGGTTTGTAGATGTTCAGAAGATGTTCATAACTCTAGCCATCACCCTCACCCTTATCCTAAACCTAACCGTAACCTTAGCAAGCAGTTGCTTATCAACAAACAGTTTGTTGATAGTATGACCATCGGTAGAGCATCTATATGGGACTAACCAAATGAAGTGTGACCCATATACTGTTTAAGACATTTTCAAGTTTCATTGACGTGTTTAGGAGAGAGATGTAGATAGAGGAGAAGGATGCAGGAGAGAAAATTAGTGGCGGAACAGGGGATCGAACCGCTGCCTTTAGGGGCATAACGTAGTCCGGAGGCAGCAGCACTACCACTAGACCAGCCCACAGCACAGGAGGACAGTTAGAGGGGACTACATTCTTCTCTTTTCAGGGATACATTTTCCCTCAACGTCGACTGAGGCTCCATAATAGGCGACAGTCTACTGGGTTCCTTGAAGAAATAATGGAAAGCCACATAAAAGTGTGACTAAGCCCTGTAGATTAGCATGGAGAGAAAATGCTTTGGGGATGAATTATACATGTGGGGGTATAACTGTGGAAGCTGTATTAAGAGCTATAAACACTGATACCCTCCAAAACAGATAAGCCCCTTCATTTAGCCTCACAGAGCCAGAGATATTGATAATGCCCCACTTGTGTGTTCTGATTACAGTAGGGGCATCTCGTCTTTAGCTCTGCAGTGCTGCGAGTGCAGCCCTCTAAGCTGTGGATAGTGCATACAGTACATTATATGAAGGCAGATCAGAATATACTGTACAACTGCTGATAGTATGGGTGTGTGAGCATGTGGAAAAGTGCGAATATACGTGGCTGCAATCATTCATCAGATTGTATGTATGCCTTTTAGTAATTATGAGTGTGTGATGAGTGTGAGCGCGATGAGTGTGTTTACATGTGTGTAGTTCTAAACTGTAAAGTCCCTCACCCGGTGTCCTGGGGGCAGTCCAGGGTCACACACCACAGCTGAGAGCAGGCGCACCAGCAGGTCCTGGACCTGTCCCATGCTGTCTCCCAGGTTGAGCAGGCCCTCCTGCAGCACGCTCAGGTTGGGTATGTGGGCGTCCACGTCAAAGCCCAGCACCTTCCCAAAGCTCCGCAGGAACTGCATCACCATCAGACAGTCGGAGAAGCTGCTTCCTGGTAGAACCAGGCCCGGAATACGGGATAACTCCGGGAGAGGCTGGGAACGGAGGGAGGACATTCAGTTACACATACTTGCTACAATAACTTACTACAGCATGTAACTACAGTAGTGTGCTGTGCACTTGTTATAATTTCAAGGTTCCTAATGCAGTGTAAGAGCAAAATCTTGAGAGATAGCTGCAGATTCAAGTAGGACAAACTGAGCTTGACCCGTATGCAGTGAGGTTTAGTGAGAGCCGTATGGAGACAGGGTTGATGTGATGTGTGATCTGTGAACTGGTTATCCAGGGGCTCAATGCTCTGTCTGGTGGAAATCATGAGAAAGCAGCTCTCAGAAATCCTCTGGTCAGTGTTGTGCTAGGAGCAGCCACTTGATGGCAGTACTCTAACCTGTACCTGTGTTTACTTCACTTTACATTTACATTTACGTCATTTAGCAGACACTCTTATCCAGAGCGACTTACAAATAGGTGCATTCACCTTATAGCCAGTGGGATAACCACTTTACAATGTTGTTGTTTTTTTTGTTTTTTTTTTGGGGGGGGGGGGGGGGGGTTGGGGGGTTGGGGTAGAAGGATTACTTTATCCTACTTTATCCTTTATCCTATTCCTTAAAGAGGTGGGGTTTCAAATGTCTCCGGAAGGTGGTGAGTGACTCCGCTGTCCTGGCGTCGTGAGGGAGCTTGTTCCACCATTGGGGTGCCAGAGCAGCGAACAGTTTTGACTGAGCTGAGCGGGAACTATGCTTCCGCAGAGGTAGGGGAGCCAGCAGGCCAGAGGTGGATGAACGCAATGCCCTCGTTTGGGTGTAGGGACTGATCAGAGCCTGAAGGTACGGAGGTGCCGTTCCCCTCACATCTCCGTAGGCAAGCACCATGGTCACTTCCATTTATTCCAATATGGAAGATGTTATCATTAGACAATAAAGCACTGGTGTCATTTAAAAACACTCTAATCATATTGATTAAATAGGTAACAGGCAAAGAAACAGATCAGTGATTAAATGTGGCCAGTATTAACGATTTCTAGGTTGGATATCAAAGAGAACGTCTAATAGAAATGCGGTTGGAGAACTAATCTATGAGTGATGGCACACTCATAGCCATAGATATAGAAGGCTCATAGCTCTCCCTTTATACATTTCCACTAGTAGCTCCTATGAATAGTGAATACCTTGTGATCTGCTAAGCACATGTCTTCATTTGGCTTCTTCAGCTCCTTGGCAATTTCCATTTCCAGTCTTCTAAGCTCCAATTTCCGCTCCTTTTTTAACCGTTTCTCATTCTTCTTCTCCTGCTTCAAGCGCTCCCGCTCCTACGTTCCAAATTACAGACCAAGTTAACAGTGCATGCACCGTTGCAGACAATCGTGTTAAGGATTATGTCATTGCAATTCAGCCCAACACTAGGCCTTCCTTGCTTATAAATTGCCGCACTTTCACAGAAAATTGCTTGGGGCCCGATTCCCTCTTTTATTCACAAGCCATATCGTTTTTAAAAAAATAAGAGGAGGAGGAACTGAGGAGAGGAGGCAATAGCCAGAAGCCTGCTGTAACAGTTTCAAGGAGGAGGAGTTGTGAATCACGCACCTCCGCTTTCTTACGGGCGTCCATGGTCTTCGTCAGCATCATGTGCTGCCTCCGCCTCTCCCTCTCCTGACAGAGCACACACAGCCACACTTAACACAGCTCAACACAGACAGGCCACTTCATATAGACATCAAACAACAGCTTAGTATGACACATACAGTATAGTAGGACAAACAAACGACGACAAACAGAAGTATGGCCATCGTTGTGAACATTATAGCGTAGGTTCAGAGGTCAATAAAATAATGACAACCAACTATCTAAAAGGGCAAAGCATCAGGTATGAGGGCAGTGTCAACACAAAGTGTAAGCTTGAAGTTAGAGTCGGCTTGAATGCGTCTGAATATGCCGGCAATAAGCAAACTGAAGTGCTAATTCTACAACAGCATCTAAGAATTAAACAGGCAATGTCATATTATGCTGTGTTATAAAGTTAAGCTAAAAGCTGCTACAGTTTCATTCTCTATTCACTGGAGAAAAGCAAACAAAATACCTTCTTATATCAGAATGCAAATAAGATAATACTACAGAAAAGCAAGTTACCTCTCACAAATACATTCATGGATTCAATTGGAGATTGAGGCCTTGTAGTAAGGAATTTATCTTAGGCATGTACTGAGGGCACTCCTAATTTATATTTAGTATGGCATGGGTTTAAAGCAATGCTATCATTGCCTGTCTTTAGCCTATTGTAACTTATGGTAACTAGGTTTGTGTACAAAAGCAGAAATCAAATCTCAAATATGGAACAAGAAACACATCAACAAAACGATGAATGAAAATGTTTCTGTGAGGTTGGTGATTTAAACTGATGTCAACAAGCAGGAGAAAAGCCGGCGATGGACGGGTCTGATTTGTCAGGTGGTAAAATGGACAACTGCAACATACTCTACATTGACTTTTACACCTGGATTTCAAGCACTTACATTCACTCGACAACAAAACAAGGCAATGGATGTCACATCTTTAGGACCATGATAGAGTGCATTGCTCCCCTTAATGTAGTCTGAATGAGTCAAGAAGTTCTTGTCTATTTGCGCAGATATCGGTTTTTGTCTTGCACAAGAACAAATAGCGCAAGACGTACGTACGCAATGCACTTTGCTCGAAAGCCATGCAGAAGAATGTAGTATGATGGCAGCCAGTGCTACACTTTATGCATTGCTTTGACAACCATATCACAACCAATATCACGATGCGGTGTTAGATGTGCAAGAATAAACATACCCATACCATATCTAGTCTATGCCTCTCCAACTCCTGGGAGAAAGAGTTGGCAAAGTATTATGAAACAGAAATCACTCATTAAAAACCAAGTTCATATAAGAAGAACCCCCCCACCCCAAGAAGAGTGACAAGCGAGGGTCATCAAAACTGAAATTAACAAAGCGACATGGAGAATTGGACAGGGAATTTGTCAAGTAGTTATATCAAAAAGAACCCTTTTCCAAAAAGATTCCAGTAGAACTGAAAGTGAAAATGGGCTTTGGGCATCATGTGGTGCAGGAGAGAGATACATACCTGGTGCTTCAAAATGACTGCTTGCTGCCTCCTCATCTCCTTCTCCTTCAAGGGGAAAAAGATAAACGACATTACAATCCAAACATACCCCTCATTTCCATCATCTAAAAAAAAGCAGCCGACACAAACGGATAAGGTTTCTCTACTTCATTCCACAGGAAGTTCAAATCCCTCACTAATCTGATTGAAAGACAGGCAAAGAGCCCGGGCAGGTTGTAACTAATGTGAAATGGAAATGCCATAGTTTCTTTTTTCAAGACGTGCAGGAAGCAGAGACAGAATGTAATGTCCTTTATGACACTGATTAACATGGAAAAGGTCTGCTCTGCGTGACAAGGAGATTTCCCTAAACACAGAGAAGCATTCCCTTGGAGCGATGAGCATTGCTTTACATTCACCTAAATGACGCAATGAGGTGCAAGTAGGAGATTGGGAATCGACAGGAGAGGGGTTGTATGGCTTGAGGCAACAGTGGGAGGTGGAGTGGGCCACAAATTAATGGTTGATTATTTTAACAGGACATCTAAACTAACCTTGATTCGTTTTTCAGCCTCCATTATTTTGGCATTTGCCGCTTCTTCCTTCCTTTTCCTTTTAGTCTGCGCATGCAAAACAGGTCTACAGGTCATGCAACAGAACAACCTCGACAGATTCAACACTTCATTCAACAGCACATGGACAGTACTATATGCCGATAGGCAGTACAGAAATACACAGACAAATCCATTTATGCTCGTGTAAGATTAGGCTTTTATCACTAGTTCCTACTAGAAGCAAATATTAAATTTCTGTCAGGTGGGAGGGCTAACATTGTTTGATTAACTAAAATCAAGACAATTTTCACAAATAAACATGCAGGGCAAAATACATATTTTGGTTCTAGTGACTACACTATCTAACAGTAAACACCCTATTAAATAGCCATATGTGCAACATAGATAGAACTGTTCAATTCAGAGCAGAGAGAGAGAGGATAATATTGAATGAGACTAGTCCCACTTGCAGCAGGGACTTACTGGCAATGTCAAGCATAAAATATTGCAATCTTGTGCAATGAGATAATTATTTCCTCCCATTAACACTAAAAAGACAAACTAGTTGTAGTTGTTACAAAATACCAGTAGCCAGTCGGAATAAATTAAGCCAAATTTCAATATGTAATTACAAGCGTAGAGGAATCCTGTTAAGAGCGGCTTGCCAACCATGTCAACTGAAATTTGATTTAGTAATGCTAAAACACTTTGGAGCTTCTATTAGCGCTGTTCATGGAAAATAGTTTTTTCACCTCCTTGTGCTAAACTGTTAGCGACTATTGTCTGAGAGATGGTATTTTGTGTCGAATCCCATCACGGTCTGAGGAGATTTTAATATTCAATGGTCCTTTGTGAAAAACCAATTAAGCGTTAGTCACATGTAGTCAAGAGACAGAACCGAAAAGGTGCAACCACATAATTTTGAAATAGCCGTTGGTTGATTTAGAAAAAGTCCTACCAACTGCAAAAAGGAAGTGTTTCGGAATGTTTCTGCAATAACTCACCTCGAGAATCTGCTGCACTCTGAGCTCCTTCTCCATTTGAATTTGCTGAATTCGCTTGATCTTCTCCTGGTGGGGGGGGGGGGGGGGGGGGGGGGGTAAAATTAATTCAATCTACAGCCATGCATGTTAGAACAGGGGGCCTGTATACGTAGTTCTAATGGAGATTAGGGTTGCAAAATTCCATGAATTTTCAATAAATCCCCCACTGGTTTTCCAGAATTCCTGGTTGAAGGATTCTGGATTTCCTGCTTGTTCTCACCTGATTCCGGGAAACCTCCAACAGGGATTTGGGGAAAGCCAGAGAATTTATTGAAAGTTCCCGGAATTTAGTAACCCTAATGAAGATTAAGTGAATGTAGCATCTTGAAGGTTAGCATCTTCCCTTCAGAGAAGATTTCAAAGCATTTAACTCTGCTTGGGATCTTTTCACCTTGGAGCCGTCCAATCAAAAACACAACTTGTGAACAGATGCATCCGAGTGGTGAGCTTTTGTACATGACACAATGATCGTGCTGTAGGCAACACCCTACCTGCTGCTTTACAATCTTCACTTGCTCCTTCTGTTTCCGCTTCTCCTCAGCAGCCATGATTGCTGAGAGAGGGAGAGAGAAAAAGAGAGAGAGAGAGAGAGAGAAAGCGAGAGAGAAAGCAAGAGAGAGAAAAACAAAGAAAGACAGAGACAGAAAGAGAAACAGAGAGAAAGAAAGAAAACATTGAGATTACGGTTGTACTGTGAGGGTTGTACTGGAAAAACTTTGTTATGGTGGAGAACAGGATGGCATTGTCACAAGAGCAGCTTTCACAGAACAACAACACTAGCTTACTGTACCTTGTTGTTTCCTGGCCTCCTTGGCTGCTAGTGCCATGGCCTGCTTTTCAAGTTTCTTTATCATTTTGATCTGGGCTGCTTGTCGAGCTACCTCTGCAACAGAAGAGAGATTTTTATTGGTTACAGAAGCTTTAAAGATACACTATACAGTATTTAGACCCCTTGGCTTTTTCCACATTTTGTTACGTTACAGCCTTATTCTAAAATTGATTAAATAAAAATGTTCCTCAATCTACACACAATACCCCATAATGACAAAGTGAAAATAGGTTTTTAGAAATGTTGGCAAATTTATTAAAAATAAAAAAACAGAAATACCTTATTTACATAAGTATTCAGACCTTTTGCTATGAGACTTGAAATTGAGCTCAGGTGCATCCTGTTTCCATTGATCATCCTTGAGATGTTTCTACAACTTGATTGGAGTCCACCTGTGGTAAATTCAATTGATTGGACATGATTTGGAAAGGAACACACCTGTCTATATACAGTTGACAGTGCATGTCAGAGCAAAAACCAAGCCATGAGGTCAAAGGAATTGTCCGTAGAGCTCCGAGACAGGATTGTGTCGAGGCACAGATCTGAGGAAGGGTACCAAAAACTTTCTGCAGCATTGAAGGTCCCCAAGAACACAGTGGCCTCCATCATTCTTAAATGGAAGAAGTTTGGAACCACCAAGACTCTTCCTAGAGCTGGCCGCCCGGCCAAACTGAGCAATTGGGGGAGAAGGGCCTTGGTCAGGGAGGTTACCAAAAACACGATGGTCACTCTGACAGGTCACTCTGACACTTCTCTTTGTGCTTACCTTTTGCTTTACAATGCTCAGTAGCGGCCTGAGGTCAAACAAAGTAATCTGTTCCCGGTCTCCACACAAAACCTAAAACTTTCAGCACTACTCCTTGTGTTTCTAGTGCCAACGGGTGGTCAGTTGACGTGCTCTCCTCCCATTTTGTTTCCAGTTCAGGAGAGTTGGTCATCCACTTGCAGAGGTCCATGCCTGCAGTCGACAGCATTCACTTTGCAGTTGTCACAAAGTAAGCCTCTTCAACATCGCGTGAACTTGCAGTGAAGTCATCTACATAGTGACTCAATGTCTCTACAACTTCTGGTTGTTCTATTTCATATTGTTTCAGGTGCTTCCTGATTGTAGTTGCGAGCAAGAATGGACTTGGGGAAGCTCCAAATACCACTCTGTTCATCCTCAGCTCCTCTTCATTTTATCTCCTTGGTGGGCCTGTGAGCCAGAGGAATCTCACGGCGTCTCTGACTCTCTCTGCTAGGGATATCTGCAGGAAAGCCTTCTTGATGTCTGCCATGAATGCAATCTCATGTAGTCTGAACTTTATCAGAATGCTGAGCAGATCCAGATTCAGGTTCGGTCCTGTGAGTAAACAGTCATTGAGGGATGGACTGCCATCTTCATGGGACGAGGTATCAAACACCACTCTGTTTTGTCGTCACCTTGTCCTCTTGGAGTACTGCATGGTGAGGTAAGTAGTATTTCACGTTGTCTGAGCTTGATGCGTTGTCCTTGGGCACGTCCTCTGCCATATCCTCTACTACTTCATTGTATCTGCTGTACAACGTCACAGTCTTTTCTTCAGACCTTCAAACCGTTTCTTGGCGATTCTATAGTTGTCTTTGAGTTCTGGCATTTCTCATTTCCATGGCAACTCCACGTGGTATCGTCCATCTTTGAAGGTGGTTGTTCTCTCGAACATCTGTAGAGCCTCGTTTTCCTCTGGGTTCTGTGTTTTCTTGCTTGTGATACCCAGAGACTCAAGCTCCCAGAATGCATGCAGTTGTTTGGAGACTAGTGTGTCTTCATCATGTGGGATGAACATGCATGTTGCCTCGGCGACACTTGACATGGACACTGGTCCCTGCACCGACCATCCAAAGGTGCTCTCTAAACCAACCAGAGTCTCGGTCAGTCACACCACTCAGCCTGATACTATCTGCCAGTAGTAGTCTGCACCTATCAGGACAGAGAGTTCAGGATCATTGTCATCTCCTGGAAAGTCTGCGAGCTGCAGTCCCTTTCTATTGAGCTCATGTTGAATCTGCTCACCAGGAACCTTCATCACAGCTGTGCACACTTGTGGGGTTTCTATTGCCTCTATTTCAATTCTCTGCTGTTTGTCCCAGACATTCTCCAAGATGACATGAGAAACAAGATGGTCTCTCTGGTCTGATGAAACCAAGATTGAACTCTTTGGCCTGAATGCCAAGCGTCAAGTCTGGAGGAAACCTGGCACCATCCCTACAGTGAAGCATGGTGGTGGCAGCATCATGCTGTGGGGATGTTTTTCAGCGGCAGGGACTAGGACACTAGTCAGGATCGAGACACAGATGAACGGAGCAAAGTACAGAGAGATCCTTGATGAAAACCTGCTCCAGAGCGCTGAGGACATTAGACTGGGGCGAAGGTTCACCTTCCAAACAGGACAATGACCCTAAGCACACAGCCAACACAACACAGGAGTGGCTTCGGGACAAGTCTCTGAATCTCCTTGAGGGGCCCACCCAGAGCCCGGACTTGAACCCTATCGAACATCTCTGGAGAGACCTGAAAATAGCTGTGCAGCGACACTCCCCATCCAACCTGACAGAGCTTGAGAGGATCTGCAGAGAAGAATGGGAGAAACTCCCCAAATACAGGTGTGCCAAGTTTGTAGTGTCAAACCCAAGAAGACTCGAGGCTGTAATCGCTGCCAAAGGTGCTTCAACTAAGTACTGAGTAAAGGGTCTGAATACTTATGTAAATCTGATATTTCAGTCAAAAATTCTAAAAACCTGTTTTTGCTTTGTCATTATGGGGAATTGTGTGTAGATTGATGAGAAAAAAATAATAAAATATATATATATATATATAAAAAACATCCCTCCGCTCTCCCTTTCCTTTTACAATAAGGCTGTAACTTAACAAAATGTGGAAAAAGTCAAGGGGTCTGAATACTTTCTGAATGCACTGTACATACAAAATGATGTGGACACCAATGTTCCCTAAAACAATGTGGGCACTTAGCAAATTTCAGGTCTGCTGGGTGCAAACTTGAACGTTGTGAAAATTCTGTGCAACTTCCAGCGCGCATTTACTGTGAACACTGAGGCTGTACCGGCTTTAAATTACAGTTTTAACAGTGGCCAAGTAGACTACTGTGGCTATTTGATCATAATGGAGGCCTACCAAAGTGACCTACCATCAATAACAATGGAGAAAATGCATCCCATAACATTTTAACATGGAAATAGCTGTTCTATCATTCAGCCTACAGTAGCAGCCAATGTGTGGTGTTCAATGTAGGCCTACATTCCATGAGATAAAAAAAAAAAAAACATGCAGGGCTTGACATTAACCTGTTTATCTCCTTGTCCTTCAGACAAGGAGGTGACTGAAAATGTTGTTGTGTTGTTTGACGCTAGAAACCACTTTACAAAATAAAATTCATTATTATTCCCATCCCATTAATACAGATAATCAGACAAATCATGCTACCCTCTGCTTATTGGCTACTTAGCTTATTCAAGCCTGTCTCAAAATACAACACTACCCCTTTAAGACAAAAAAAAGCTCTTTACTGGACTCGCTTTTCAAAGATGTCTAGAAATGTACACGTTTTGTGCTCTTGTAGGAAGCAAATCACTCCCCCCATATTGCTCACTACAAATTATCTATAACTGGGTTAATAACTCACTAACTAGTAAAGGATATGAACTAAATGTGCACACGTGGCTACATGCAGCTCTCGCTTTGATCTCAAAACAAGCACATCTACTCACGACCGCTCATGCTGTAAACACAATCCAGTTCAAAGTAAATGGCACAGATCCATATATGGCAATGGTCTATTTGCACATAGGCCTACTGCAGCTCTGACTGTTTATGCTGCACCGGTCTGCGTAGAGTACGGGCTGAGTAGTGCGTGCCAATGCAATAGAATCACACTCTGATGTGTTCTGCCTACGACAAAATCTCTTGCATAGTTCGTTTTGTTTCGGTATGTTGCATTGAAAGTGGCTAATATTGCGTTGATTCTATCACAATTGCCACAGTAAAGGGAAAGGTTGATAGTGTTAACAGGGAAAACTCTGAATCAAAATGCAAGCCGAGATGTACTGCCCAGATTTATTTAAACATTATTCAAAAAACGTAAGCCTATTCAACATTTACCAATTAAACAGTACCGTAGCAATGAGGTTTGTGCAGTAAGCTATAGGCCCAGTACATTATCACCACATACTGGCTTTGCTTGAATTGCCCTGCCAATGCATTGTTGTTGGGGTCATTTTTAAAATTATATTTCAACATTTGAGGTAGGCTATATGATCACACCGGTAATAGATCCGTTGTTGCATTACTTGTGAGGCACAGCTGAGTGAGCATACATTTAAATAATTAGCTTTTTATTTTATTTTACTGGGCTGATGGTGCCTGCATCTGATGGTCAGTCTCAGCGGCGGGAGAGAGTGGCAGACTGAGGGTCTACCTCTCAACATCCCTCCGCTCTCCCTTTCCTCAACGGACACTGACCAAAAAGGGGCACCGTCTTCCAGCTGGTGGCGAAACTCGAGTCGCACCGCATTACTTCTGCCTCATGCACAAATTGATGTTGTTACTCCTATGAACAGAGAAAGTGAAATATTCCTCGATATTAAAAAAGACCCAAGCCGCTAATAATAACAACGCAAACCTATCGATACACTTTCCTATTCATTCATTACTGCTGCAGTGCTTGGAAATAGGAAGAACGCTCATTTTATGGCTTATAAAAGTGTTGAATACAAAGTGTTGACAGTGCTGAGTAAGAACTTAAACATGAACTCACTCAAAAACAGCAGTTCTTTGCTGTATTCGTTGACAGTCTCTCTCTAGTCATAGTTTTAAACGTTTTGAAATCTCACAGTATCAACTTTGCTGTAGCTTTTTTTTATGCCTGCTACATTACTGCAGACACGGTAATCTGAGCCATTCGATTGGCCAGCGGTAGGCCTATAGTGCACTTGATTTGCTCTCCATGTTTGTACCTTCAGCCACATTAAATGGTTAAAAATAGCAACAGTTCACCTACCTAAGTGCTGTTATTGTGAAGTGGAAACGTCTAGGAGCAACAACGGCTCAGCCGTTTAGTGGTAGGCCACACAAGCTCACAGAACGTGACTGCCGAATGCTGAAGGGCATAGCTCTAACTACAGAGTTCCAAACTCTGGAAGCAACGTCAGCACAAGAACTGTTCGTTGGGAGCTTAATGAAATGGGTTTCCATGGCTGAGCAGCCGCACATAAGCCTAAGATCACCATGCGCAATGCCAAGCGTCGGCTGGAGTGGTGTAAAGCTCACCGCCATTGGACTCTGGAGCAGTGGAAATGCGTTCTCTGGAATGATGACTCCCGCTTCACCATCGAGCAGTCCGACAGACAAATCTGGGTTTGGCGGATGCCAGGAAAACGCTAATGGTCTGGGGCTGTTTTTCATGGTTTTGGCTAGCCCCCTTAGTTCCAGTGAAGGGACATCTTAACGCTACAGCATACAGTGACATTCTAGACGATTCTGTGCTTCCAACTTTATGGCAATAGTTTGAGGAAGGCCCTTTCCTGTTTCAGCATGACAATGCCCCTGTGCACAAAGCGAGGTCCATACAGAAATCGTTTGTCGAGATCGGTGTGAAAGAACTTGACTGGCATGCATAGAGCCCTGACCTCAACCCCATCGAACACCTTTGGGATGAATTGGAACGCCGACTGCTAGCCAGGTCAAATCGCCCAACATCAGTGCCCGACCTCACTAATGTTCTTGTGGCTGAATGGAAGGAAGTCCCTGCAGCAATGTCCCAACATCTAGTGGAAAGCCTTCCCAGAAGAGTGTAGGCTGTTCTAGCAGCAAAGGGGGACCAACTCCATATTAATGCCCATGGAATGAGATGTTTGACGAGCAGGTGTTCACATACTTTTGGTCACGTAGTGTACCTCAGTGATGCTTGCGAGAACTGAACCCACCTTGAGCTTCCAGTTTGCGTAGAAGTTTGGCATCGGTGGCGCCTGGGAAGTCGGCCTCGCCAACATTAGGAAGTCGGCCCTTCCTGCGCCTGGACCGGGGGCCCTCATCACCTGTCCTCTGGTGCTCAGGGTTAGGGGGATGCCCACGCCTCCCCTTCATGGCCAGGATACGAGGAATCACCTCCTCCTCGGTCAACAAGCTCCACTGCAATCCCTTATAGGCAGGAGAGAAGAACGAGGGACAGCCAGTTAGAACCTTCAATTTACTTACACTGAGGTATAACTATACTTGATACAGTATAAACAAACATCCCTCATGACAAAAAATATGAACGTCAAGCTTAAATACATATATCTATGTGATTGCTGCCTTTAAGTATGAATCAATTAGACATCATGGAGTTCTTCTTATTCACTGGTTATTGTTGTTAAATGTAGAAAGACACATCATCATCACATTCTTTTCTATGTACTGAAAGTGCTCCATCTTAAAATAGCGTTTTTGAGTGAACTATCCCTTTAACTATATGCACCTGGCCTTCATATTACAATAGAGCAATATAACTTTTCATGTGAATGTAATATTAACACAATGATATACAGTACTTTAGGCTACGGATGACTCTGCTCTGTGGGAGGGAGAAAACGGTCAATAAAGAGAGGACAGTCACCTGGGGTCCTTCTCTGGCTTCATAGAAGTCACCAACCCTTATTTTTGCACTGAAGCTAAAATTATCGCGTGTGATGTCACTTATTCCATTTCTGGACAGATACTACAAAGAAGAACATAATGAGGCTTTGGTGAGACAAAAGATCAGTGTTAAGGCAAAGATTAAGTTAATAACAGCAACATTATTGGTTTGGGTGTAAATTATGTATTTCTTGATCAAAATCTGGAGACAATTCAAAAAACTCAATCATTAACATTAGCTTCAAATCTATTAGGATTAATATGAGAGCGATATATAGAAGAGAGGATGCTAATGCCAATGCTAGTGACCTGTGAGGTATGATCTTACCTTCATCACGTCGGGGTACTGCCGGAGCTTCTTCCCACACGGGGCGTAGTACGCCACATCTCCCTGCAGACGGCCCGCCACATTACAGATACGCGTCTCTCTCTGCCACCTAGGATGGAGGGAAGTTACAAGTGACTCACGTACAGGAACACAATCCCATTCACACTATTGGTCAGAGCGATACAGTGCAGTACAAATATATTGCAGTCATGTATCATTTTGTAATGTTTCAAGCAGTCAAAGTAGAAGGACTACACAAGTGCAGCATGAATTGTATTGTCTATATTGTATATCAAGGTACATGGGTGGAAACTTTAAGTTGTTTTGTGCTACAGTCTTACACCATCTTTTTTCTTTTACACAACACTTAGTCAGCTAGAATTGTTACACGCTCTTCTCCGAGCTGCCAATCCTTCAGCAGACAGCTAGATCCTGATGTTGACGAGGTCAGCGATCTAAATGAGCTGTTTACAGCTGTGTAAGTGGCCTGGCTGCCCTGTGAGCCCTGTATGACTCCAGCAGTAATCAGACTCTCCTGGATGGACAGCTGCCAAGAGGAACACCACACCACACGACACTTCCATCAGTGCATCTGGACTCCTAACAGAAACGGCCTGAGGATTGCGTCCCAAATGGCACCATATTCCCTACATGGTACACTAACCCATAGGACTCTGGTCAAAAGTAGTGCACTATACAGGGAATAGGGTGGCATTTGGGATGCACCCTGGGTCTTAAGCAGAGCAGAGCAGGGGACTGATATATAAGGCTTGTCGCCTCGCTTTCCTCTTTGAACCTGCTGATGAGAAACATCCGTGGGAGATGAAAGACACCCTGATCTGAGTGCAGCATTGCTGGGTTTGTGGGGGGCGGTGGGACGGTGCTGGAGCTGCTAATGTTGCGTGTCTGTTGAGACTGGATGTGGTTAACCCCTGACCATCACTGCTGCAGCGCCTCATTTCCTGGCCACTCTGCTTACTGTCAGGCCTGGGCTTTGGAGGGGCCAACTGAGGGAGCGAGGGAGGGAGGGCTAGAGAAAAGGGATGGAAGGATAGAGGGAAAGAGAGAGGGATGGAAAGTTTGAGGAGGGGAGAGTTTAAGGGAGGAGGGATAGAGGGAAGGATGGAGGAGGGATAGCGGGAAGGATGGAGGAGGGATAGCGGGAGGGAAGGATGAAGGGAGGGAAGGATGAAGGGAGGGAAGGATGAATAGGGAGGGAAGGATGAAGGGAGGGAAGGAGGGATTTTGTGTTGTTTACTGTTTTTCGTCTAGCCACTCTGTTGTTGACGATGTATCATCACTGCTCTGGAAAAAGGAACCTCACTGATTGGGATCATTGGGATGTATCCACTATGACTTGGCTCCTTTAAACCCCTTTTAGTCATCACCACCCATACTGTTTGAGGGACAGAGGAAATCACCACACCATCATATTATAGTACTAGGGTAGCTAAATGTCTACGTCCCAAATGGAGGCTCTGGTCAAAAGTAGTGCACTATATAGGGAATAAGGATGCAGGTACTGTACAGTGGGTAGTGCTGAGCGATTAGTGCTTTTTGATGTCGGTTCGGTTTCAGTTAGATTATTATTCAACTTTTTTACATTAACTGCACTATGCATTATCAAATCAAATTGTATTTGTCACATTCCAGTGACATTCTGAGTGGTGTATGTATGTATGTATGGTGCATATCTTACCCAAACTCTAGAGGTGTCCGCAGCTCTCTCTCATCTGTCACTCTCCTTCTCTTCCCTGTTCCTGGGAGAAAGAGTGGACTCATTAGAACGGTCGGACAGATCCACTGTGACCTGAGCAAATGCAGAAACCCTGTCGCGTTGGCCAGAGGTGGCCTAGTCAATTCAGTTGCCCAGGGGAAAACAATGGCTTGAAAACTCCACCCACCAGACAAGGGTACCTTAAGAACATTTCAGCCTGTTATGTTCAGTTGTTTTATTCAAAGAAACAGGCAAAACCATAGGGTCCTTTTAACCACTGTTGCTTTTAGAAATGACACATCAACACAGGATTAGCAATACAATACCTTGTCAAATTGACCATGTCAAAGCCGATATCAAGGAATAGAGCTAAGAATGATTATATGGGAGTGGAACTACAACAACAACAAAAAGATTCCAACATGCAGCTATTAGGAAAAAGAGACTCAGACTGCAGTAATCATGAGGTCTGAGCCAGCCAAGTGCTTCAGCTGCTAACAGGTTAAACATATGCCAGCCAGGGTAATCAATAGACTCAAAGGGCCTGCTCTGGGTCATCAAAACAATGACACAAACACTTTTGACCAGAGACGTCATTTTGCATCGAGAGACTCGCTGAACAATGTTTTCCTGCTGGACTGAACTGAGTGATCTGACTAAGCAAATGGAAGAAGGAGATAACAGTCTGGACTGCCAACAAACAGCCTCAAGGCCCACCACCATGTCCCAAATAGCACTATATAGGGAATAGGGTGCCATTTGGGACGCAGCCATGAGAGTAGTGCACTGGTTTTAGCAGGGCTCTCCAACCCTGTTCCTGGACAGATACCGTCCTGTAGGTTTGCGCTTCAACCCTAATCTAGCGCACCCGATTCTAATAATTAGCTGGTTGATAAGCTGAATCAGGTTAGTTACAACTGGGGTTGGAGCGAAAACCTACAGGAGGGTAACTCTCCAGGAACAGGATTGGAGAGCCATGGGTTAGAGAGCAAAGATGAGCTGAGAGTTCCATTGGTACCTGGTGGAGTGGAGCAGAGAGTGTATGAGGAAGAGGGGGTGCTGTGGTAGGCCAAGGCCCCAGAGCTGGTCACTATGGCTGGGGTGGGCAGGCCACTGGATGCCTTGATGACCTGGAGGTTGAGAGGGGAGCAGCTGGCTGAGAGGCTGGAGGAGGTGGTGTTGAGTAGAGAAGAGGAGCCTTTGGTGCGCTTCAGAGGGGTCCTCTCTGCCTCCGTGTCCGTGGTGGTCTCGTCGCGGTCCTTCACGTCGTCCTCAGAGCAGTCCGAGTCGCTCTCCAGATTACTCTCAGACTCTGCAGGGGACACCAGTGGGAGTGGAGGACTTGATAAGTCATTCTCCAATTAACATTCAGTTCACATTCAACCACACTGATAATCACAGGCCTCTTGAAGGAACCTCTTTAAAGTATCTGCTGAATCTGTATCTAAAGTGGCGATGAAGCATTTAAAGTCATACCAGATGTAAGTGCTGTTTCAGAAGTGCATCACATTAACGTGCTGAACTGACTAACCTGATAGGCTGTCGTCAGAATCCTCCTCATCGTCGTCATCATCTTCGTCGTCATCATCATGTTCATCGTCCTCATCCTCTACGGAGTCGTCGGAGTCCTTACTGCTGGGAATGTCCGACTCTGTGTCCCGGAACAATTCCACCAGGGACTGCACCAGGTGGGTCTGGGACTGGGAGACACCCTTCCCCGTGTGGAGAGCCTTATGCTGGGCCTTGCTCTTCCCATCTCTGTGGGCCAGGCCCGGTGAGGTAGAGGCCCAGCCTAGGGCTCCAGAGCTGTGCTCCTTGTGTCCAGTGCTCAGGTTGACAGGCATAGAGAAGGGTGGGCTGGTGGCAGCCAGGAGAGGATTGTTGATGGTGCTCCTGCTCTGACTGCTGCTGCGAGGCTTGGTGATGAGGGCCAAGGGGGCCTCCTGCACCGTGCTGTGGATCACCCCATTGGGGTGGGGGCCCAGGAGGGAGGAGGCCAGGAACAGGTTGGAGTGGTTGGTGTGTGGAGAAGGGAGCCCGTGACTGCTCGGGGTCTCTGAAGACAGTTTGGGCGGTGCTAATGAGGAGGAGGATGATGAGGCGGCCATTTTCTTTTTCTTCTGGCTCTTGAACAGGTCCTGATGCATCAGTGGCAGAGGGAAGGCCTGTTTGAAGTGCTCCTGGGAGAGGAAGGGCTAAAGGAGAGAGGGAAGAGGGGAAGAAGAGAATGGAAGTAATTATACGAGCTGTCAGTCATTTGCATTAATGCAGATTGTGAATGGAAAATGTAATAATAAGAAATGCACTTGTAATTGCTCATGAGAATGACAATGAAGAAGAGGGTCTCTCCCATTAAAGTATATTAAAACAAGTCGGTGTCGAACAAGGTACACAAATAATTAAAAAACTGTTTGGCACAATCTTTGGCAATTTTTTCTGTTTAGTGCCGTTTTCTAGGCTTAGCAATCAACTTCCTTTTTGGAGATACCTCTACTAAACTCCGGCTGTACTAAAATCCCGTTCCAAAGGTCTTGTTATAGATTGACATGCTATCACCACTGTTCAGATTAACAATAATAATTGAATCCTTGGAAAAAGGCAGATTTTTCCCTTTTGATAACAACGGGCTTCCTAAAGCATTACTGAGTTAATTGCGTGTCAGCTTTAGTGAAGTATTTCCAATAAAGCTAACTAACTTCATTGTCACTTTCGGTCATGTACAGGGGGAGCCGGCATGAAACGCAATCCAACTGCTGATAACAGTGCTTAGACATTTAATTTTCTGTAGAGAGGAAGCTGACCTTTTGCAAATCAGAAACAATGATAGTCAAGAAGAAATGGGAGATACTACATATCCATATCCGAAATTCTTGGTAAAAAAAAGTTTGTTATCAATATTACTTTGGAGAAAGACTTAAATCGAATAGTCTTCTTTTAATGAGTGGAAAACAGACCATTACACACATGTACAAAACAATGAAAAGGCAAATCATTTGCATACAGCAAGACTCACCTGTTTCAATTTAAAGTTGTTGATGTGTAACAAGGTTTCATCCAGGAAGTTTCTGCTTCCCGACTTCATACTGTCAGACAGGGTGGGGGGTTTGGGGGAGCCCGTCTGAGATTTGGGTTTGTGTGAGGGCGATAGGGTGGGTGGTTTGGGGGACGAAGCCAGAGAGGGAGGCTTGGGTGAGGAGGAGAGAGACAAGGGCTTGGGGGAGGAGCAGAGGGAGATGGGCTTGGGAGATGAAGAGAGGGAGAAGGGTCTGGTGGGTTGAGGAGAGGATGAGGCCTCCCTGCGTGGTTTGACCAGAGCCAAGGGTTTAGTACTGGCCAGCCCCGTAGCCTGGATCACACTGGTGTGCTGCTTGATTTCTTCTTCTCTGCTCCTGTAGCTCTGGAAGACTAGGGACGTGGACTGGGACAGCGCTGGGGGCTGGAGTGAGGGTTGGAGCGGGTAGTGGAGGGAATGGAGAAAGGCCTTGTCTGGATGTTTCTGAAGCAGACCACTCCGGCTGTCCTGAGCATCCCTCTCCTTCTCGCCTTCAGCAGCGCGGGGTCTCTTCTTCTTGCTGTTGGCAGTGGTCTGTGTCAGGCTCTGAGAGTGAGAAGAGGAGGTGGAGGAGAGAGGAGGGGGAGGACAGTTCCATGTCAGCTCTGACTCAACCCAGCCCACAATGGCAGCCCTGACGGGCAACGCGGTTGGGCGCCCAGTGCGCCACCCACCAGTGGAGCTGCCCTTGACATTTAACTGAGATTAACATTCATTGAGAGCATCACAGTGTGCTTGGAACAAAGAGGAAAGTATAACATTTTCAAAAGACAAACCATAGACAAACCATAGACATGTCATGTTAAAATAGTGTATGCATGAGTCCAGATATATGGCTACTGAGTTCTAACAATTCGACCCGGACAGTTAAACTAGACAAGCGCCTGAAATCTGAAACACACCTTAATCTTCCTCATTACACGGCTCTCCTTCTCAGAGTCAGAATCATCGCTGTCGTTGCTCTGATCTTCATCATCATCATCCTCCTCCTCCTCGTCTAGGTCGTCTGAGTCACTGCTGTTCACCCCGTCGCTGGAGATATCCGAGGAAGACCCTGATTCGCTGTCACTGTTGCTGGACGCCTCCACTGGTTTCTTGCTGAGTTTCTATAACAGGGAACAGTGATGGAGTCATTCCAGTCAATAGGGTAAAAGAATACCATAGCAAACAGCACACATCTCAGATGTCAATGTTTGTCTAGATCGCATCCATCCTTGTGGGACATTAACGTTTCCAGATATGTTTACCACAAACTAGTCCTTTTTGGACTAGTTTTTCCTGGGTAAGCCATTTTATTAGTTGCCAGATATGTGTTTGGTGATCCTACTAACCTTCTCTTTAGTTTTCTGAACGCTCTTCTCCTTCACTTGGGTCATGTCCTGGTGGCTCTTGCGGCTTCTGACGCTTCCGTTGGTGGCTTTCTGTTTCTCCGTGTTCCCCTGTGTTGAGAACGTAGTGGTGGTTGTGCTGAAGCTGCTCTCAGACAGAGTGGAGATACTGCTGCCATTCACAGCTTCATTCACTCCTTAGACCATGAGGAAACATAGTTAGATACCACAACTATGAATCAGGAACAACCATTTTAGTACAGTGAGCATGAAGAGGAAAACAAGGTGAAAGACAGTTCTCTAAAATGATGAGTTATCAGAACTTGCCAAAGCACTTACTAATAGGAAAAATCTCATTATATTAGCAAGAGGATCTCCCGGTTAACATATTCACTGGTGAGACACCCGGCACCTGCTTACAAACTGATTTATGCATTTACATGTCTTCGTATTGCCTCCAGGGTCAATTAAACATATTTGATGTTGTACCTGTGCCCATAAGGACATCATTCTCTTTTATGCAGAAATGTTCCTTGCTTCATTAAATTGCTTGCAGAGTAGGGAAAACATCTGGCAAGAGTGTGTGTGTGTGTGTGTGTGTGTGTGTGTGTGTGTGTGTGTGTGTGTGTGTGTGTGTGTGTGTGCGTGCGTGCGTGCGCCTGTCTGTCTTTGTCTGCCTACCTTTGGCAGTGGCTCGTCCGTTCTTGCTGGGGGTGCGGGGCTGGAAGGGGCTGGGGTCGTGGCTCTGCTGGAGTTGGGGTAGGAACATGGGCGGGAGCCCCAGGAGATGGGGAAAGAAGGCTGCAGCTCCACGCCCCTGAGCCTCAGCTGCCCGCCACCATTCTTGGGTGTAGAGGGAGAGGAGAGAGAATGCATGAGAATCCATGCCAGTGATTTCACTGTTATGCATCTAAGTGATGACACACTGTTTCAGACAGCCAGGGTTTCGGCTGTTCAATCTTTCCGTTTCTCTTTGAACAGATCTCAGCAGATGACCAGTGCATTCCACTGGCTCACTGATTTCAGCCCATTTAATTGTAAACATGTTGAGAATTGTAAATCCCAGAGGATAGCTCCACATTTGAGGCTCATACATGCTGGATATTTCACAGCTGAAAAAACAGTCTCGCAGGAACTTTCTCCCTTTCCCTTTAAAATGGCAAAAGCAATTCAAAATGTTAGTTTTTTTCAGAGGACAAATATATATATATATATATATATATATATATATATATATATGGGGCATACAACATTATGTTGGTGGCAAGAATTTTAAATAATAATTTAAATAGAAAAACTTGAAGTGTTGAATCAAGTGTTGTTTTTTGTACCAGTTCATAAACCATGTGCCATGGAATCGGTACATCGAAAATCTCTTCCCATTTATTTTGCTACCTGTATGGTTGAAACTGGTATATTTGTCTATTTATGCCAATTCCTTTCAGCCAATTTGTATCTTTAATACATGGCAGGCAAACAAGTTCCCTACCTTCTCCCTTTTCCACTTGCCTCCTCCAATTTTGTGGTAATGCTGCAATCAGTTGGTTGTAAGTTTGGATTGAGCAGACATTCCCATATATTTTAGATAGCTGCATATGTGACATAACTCCATCGTTTCTATTCATAATATCATTAATAAATATAATACACATAAAAAAAAAAAATATCCATAAAGAATGTTTTTTTAAATTAATTAGTACATTTGAGTTTAACCATAACATTTGTTGTAATATTTGTTCTATCTTTTCTGGAGGATAAAAATGAAATTGTAACCAACTTTGTATGGCTTGTTTAAGAAAAGGCGATACTTTAAACAAAATTGTATTTTCAATTAGTCGGAAATGAGAAGTTGTAATCTGGATAAAGGCAAAAAGGCCATTTTTAAACAAAGGATGAGCCTTTCTTAATAAGCCCTTCGTGCTTGATGAAGTTGACTACATACTCCTGATTCATTTGTGATTCTTGTTATGAACGTCACAATGTCTAAAAGGTACATTTCATATTCACATGCTCTGGATACTGTATACAGTTCCTGGACGCTAACCAACACCATTTTCCTCTGAGTGTGATATAAAAAAAAATAATGTAACACAAAAAACATTTAGCTCGAAAAGTGTGATAGGTCCAATCTTGTTTTCTCAGAGGTCAAGGTGGTGCTGTGAACCTTCCCAATCTATAAACGTCATGTCCTGAATGCTGCCTATTGAACTGATGGACGATACCATAAAGGTGATGCATGCTAGCTGGGCTCTCTGTGGGAGTTGGCTGGGCCTAATAACAACACATTCTGGGAACTCTCAGAAGGCAGAATGAACTGATCAAATGATTGTGTTTGTGTTTGTGTCCCAAATGACACTCTATTCCCTTTATAGTGCACTACCTTTGACCAGAGCCCTATGGTCCCTGGGCAAAAGTAGTACATTACATATGGTCTGCTCAAAAGTAGTGCACTATATAGGGAATAGGGTGCCAATATGTTATTCACTGTGAGATACTGATGCATTTATAGCTTGTACAATTCATTACCATCTAGTTTATAATGGATTGTAGTCAAGGCTCTCCTACCTGGAAAGGCTCCTAGCTGGGAGTGAGCAGCCAAGGCAGCAGACACCCCCAGGGAGCCCAGGCCTCCAAACTCTGAGCGCCCTGAGCTGGTAGTGTACAGACCAAATGCTGGGTGGTTGACGACGGGAAAGGCACTTGAGACTGTAGACATGTTGAAATGTTGATCGCCCGCCGCCCGGAACAAGTGTCCTGGAAAAGGAGGAAACGACTAAATGAAGCGTCTGTATGAATTTAGATACATAAACCATGTAGCTAAAATCCCATAGCTAAATAATTCATCCGTATGACTGTTAATGTTTAATATCGCAATAAAGTCTCCTTAAGGATCTGTTACAACATCCTCTGGTTGGGAAGAGATCATGTTTTATGCATTATCAATAAAGACGCTGGTTAGTGGGTGTAAAGGAAAAAGACTCCCACGGATTCTGCTTGATCTGTTCAAACATGCTTTTGCAAATATGAGACATGGTTGTGGGAGGCTGTTCGGATTCTATTCAGAGAGAGATCATCATCATGCATTTGTAAAGCGCCTGGTGCTATTGCTCTTGTTTGAATACGATTATAAAGGCAGACGCATCTATTGCAACATCAACAAAATTGCATCATTAACATTTTGCAGAATCATTTTGTTAAATGAAAGTAAAACTGCATTTGGTTTGGTGGGGGGGAAAAATACAAGGTATTTACAAGGATGTACATTTCATGTTTTTTTTTTCTTCTGTATGTTGAAATTGGCGCAGGACATTTGAACAGCTGATAATGCAATCCCAGGGATCCTCCTCCTGCACCTAACAGATGCAACTAACAGATCACTCCTGGTTCTCCACTACCGGTACTCTCTGAAGGCTGACAAAACAGAGATATTATAGGCAATGTTCCCTAAAAAATTTTGGGGCACTGAGCAAATTGTAGGTCTTGTGAGCGGAAACTTGAACATTGTGAGAATTCTGTGCAACTTCCGGCGTGCGTTTACAGTGAACACTGAGGCTGTACCCTTATAGTTTTAGACAGTAGCCAATGTGGCTATTTGAGCAGAATGTAGGCCTACCAACAAAACCAATGGAGCAAATTCCATAACATTTTCACATGGAAATAGCTTTTGATTTCTATGATATAGCTTACAGTAGCCTATATGTGGTGTTCAATGCAGGCCTACATTGCATGAGACCTTTAAAAACATTTGGGTTTGACATTAATTACTTGTTACTTGGTTTGTAACACCATGGGCCAAATAGGTGACTGTAAACGGCATTGTATTGTGTTGTGTTGTATGATGCAAGAAACCATTTTATAAAATAAAAGTTATTATTATTCCCATACAGAGAATTAGACAATGTAGGCTACCCCTCTGCCTACTGGCTTATTTTTCACACAAAAAACATTTATTTATGTAGTGCAAACTAATGGGGCGAACTAAGTGAAATTCAATATCTTGTGTGTCTGCGCAGCATGGCATTTCTTCTGTGCCGCAGTCCTGGAAGAAGTGCGCGATTTAGAGGGAACATTGATCGTAGGAGATTTTGTGCTTAGAGTGCATCATTGCGAATGGGGAATTTTGGAGCATTAGAGTGGCCGTTTCCGAATACCCGTACTAGCGTACTAAATAGTATGCCAACAAATTATGTTTTATAGTATGTGAAATTTCTAAAATAGTACTCCGAATGCATCTGATGCGCAATTGCGTTGACCCCCGCCATTCATTCATTTTGGTACAGCACGTCAATTTGATTATCAGCTGTTGTCAAACACGAGTTGGAAAAGACAAGTGAATTCTAGTAGCTCAAATGCCGAAATGAGTATGCAGTAGCTAGTATGGGTATTTGGACACCACATTGTTTCTCTCCGATCACTACTTCCCAGGACTCCTGGGAAATTAGTGTAAATTGTTACTTAGTGGGAAATCTCGGTTAACCCAGAACTAAACCTTGCATAATTTCGTCAACTGCTCGATTAGGTTTGGGGGGAGGTGTGTTAGAAATTGAGATTCCCGGTTTGCCAAGGCATCCACCCTTGCAAAAGGAAACTGCTAGCCAAAGCAGTCTTATAACTTGGGGGTAGAAGCTGTTTAGGGTCCTGTTGCCATACCCAGTGGTGATGCAGCCAGTCAATATGCTCTCAATGGTGCAGCTGTATAACTTTTTGAGGATCTGAGGGCCCATGCCAAATATTTTCAGCCTCTTGAGGGGGAAGAGGCGTTGTCGTGCCCCCTTCACGACTGTGTTGATGTGTGGACCATGATAGTTCCTTAGTGATGTGGACACCAAGGAACTTGAAGCTCTCGACTAGTTCCACAGCAGCCCGGTCGATGTGGATGGGGGTGTGCTCGGCACACCCTTTCCTGTAGTCCACGATCAGCTCCTTTGTCTTGCTGACGTTGAGGGAGAGGTTTTTGTCCTGGCACCTCACTGCCAGGTCTCTGACGACCTCTCTGTAGGCTCTCTCATCGCGTCGGTGATCAGGCCTACCACCATCGTGTCGTCTGCAAACTTAATGATGGTGTTGGAGTCGTGCGCGGCCACTCAGTTGTTGGTGAACAGGGAGTACAGGAGGGGACTCACATTGGCTACGGAGAGCGCGATCTCACAGTAGTCCGGAACAGCTGGTGCGCTCATGCATAGTTCAATTTGGCTTGCCTCATCTGTCGAAGCGAAGCAGTTTAAGCAACACCTTCGCCTAATACTGATAAGTCCAACTAACCAGTGACAAAAACTCATGACCCGGAACTAATGCTGCTCGTTACCTCACGCATCCTATAGCATGCCGACAGATCTACAGTACTAGTTATGTTTAGGTAGTCTGTCCACAAGAGATTATTGAGTGGACTTTCCTAGATAAATACAACTATTTAATTACTTTAATATTCACAACAGTCTATGTCTATGTTGGCAAGGAACCCTGCATGTTGTCCTCTCTCACAGTCAGATAGACTAGAGTACTGAAGGACCATATTTAATGGAAACTCAATTAGCAGTACAGACGTGCAGAGAAGCTTGTACCTGCTGTTCTAACAGGCAGTACCATGTGCCAGCCAGGTGATTGGCATAATTAAAAAAGATGACTGAACACATTTCCTCATAACATTACTAAATCCCCCAAAGAAATAAAACTGTCAACTTACGTCCTAAAATTGAATTTCAAGTCAATTTATAATAATTAAAAGAAAAATCTGGAGTGATTAGTTTGTTTATTTTCACTTGGTACAATGGCAAATTGATTAAGTTTATAAGGCTAAATTTTTTATAGTCAAATATAGTTGGCCTAATTCCATGGCTAATTCCATGGCTGCTTTGCAATACTTGCTTGAAATTGCCCAAAAACATTGTGGAGTGCTGCCGTTTCCCAATGTTCTTGAACTTGGGAATTCATATTAAATGACCAAAAAGATATTGCTGTAAAAATCTTACCAGGATATAAAGTGGAGGTCTCTGTAATGATCCATTACTGATTCCCCATCTCACTTTATGCATTCTCCTTCAATCTATATTGAAGGATTTATGGTCTGGGTTTGTGACTGGTCTATAAACCCACCCTGTGCACTAGCTCTTCCAAGCAGCTTGCTTACAATTTACAGCATGTGATTTCAGCTTTCCCATTTTCAAAACAACATTCACACTCACACACACACTAAACACTTTTTATACAAGAATGCAAATAAGTGTTATGGGATAAATGGTAACTATAAAGGCCAATGTCAGGTCTAGATTATCTGCATGTAATTCTTATAATTCCCTGACATCTTGGTATTGGTATTGTTAGATAGAAACTGATGTAGGTCTAAATTATGTGGAGATAAGTTAGTTAGGCCTACACAACTTTGCCATGAAAATAAAATATGAAGTGAGTTTCACGCTCGTCAGTTCAAATCAACCAACGTATACTTTTTCATTGCATCTGTGACAGCAAAAGGACTGCATCAATTACTCCTCGTCTTATCATCCATTTCACTTCCAGATAAAGGAGCACTTTCTATTTCAGATTTCAATCAAGCCCTTTCGGTTGAACATTGTATCAGCTTAAAGACAATTTTTCAATCCATTATCGATTCAAAGCACTGTGAAATTAAACTTATTTCCCCCATTTCAACCTAAAAAGGTTAGTAATATCCAAAGCCGATTGAGAATTAGTATCTGAAAATTGCATTATAAAATGCATTTGCAAACATGAAAAGTAATGCGTGAGACAAGTGTAAATTCATGAATTAATAACCATAAGTATAGCATGCATGTGTAATTAAATCACTTAGAAAGAGAGTAACTAACACAGGAGATGTAATATCTTTACTTTGCTTTCCACCGGGGGGGATGAGAAATCTCTTAAAATTTGCTTTATTCTCATAACCGCAACGTGACTTCAGAGGTGCTGTGCTTTCTGCATTTAAATTCCAGCTCTCTGTCCAAAATAGCTTATCTAGAGAAATCTCTGAGCACGTTTGGTTGGTGTGTAGGGGGATAGAAATGTATAATGTATGAGCAAAATGTCTAATGGCTTCTTCATTGTAACAGCATGAAAAAAAAAAAATGTATTTCTTTTTTAATTATGAAAGAAGAGGGAGAAAAATCACAGATGATAAATTTGCATGTTATTTTCTGGTCAGGGTAATCTGACAGTTTATGCATCATCGCTTCTCGCCACATTATGGCTTTGACCACAATTAGTATTCAGAGAAAACAGAGGATATTCGAGGCAGCAGCGGCCACAGCAGTCTCTATTTGGCTGACAGACCCGTCAAATCACAACGGGCTAAACTGGTGCTAAAGGTTGTCAAGAAACATCCGAGCGGGTGCGCGACGTCTTACACAGAGAGGATTTTTTATTGTTGGCATCCATTAATGCAAAAGCATTTTAATTTCTACACAAACTATCAGAAAATGAAGTGTGAGAAGACGGTGCTTTCTTTATCTTAATGAACCCTCATAATTAACACTCAGGAATGCTCTTTTCTTGTTTAATTTGAAGTTGGAGAATAATGAAATATGATGTGTTAAAGGTGAATACAGCCCATGTGTTTGCATGTAACGTGATTAATCTGTGCATCAGTGTGTGTGTGTGTGTGTGTGTGTGTGTGTGTGTGTGCACGACAGAGAGAGTGTGTGTACGTACCACAGGTGGTGAGAGGGGAGCCCAGGACGGCACGGCTGGGGGTGAGGCTGCACTTGGAGGAGGATGTCTTGGCCGAGGCAGGGGCAGGTGAGGAGCCGACAGAAGAGACAGTGGAGGAGGCGATGTGCAGGGAGGACGGGGCTGACGATGGGGAGGCCAGCCGCTCTCCAGACTCCATATCTGTCAAACACAATCCAATCAACACACTTACAAAAGGCAGGGGAAGAAAAGAGGAGGAAAAAAACCAAACACTCCCACCACACCCCCCACTGAGCCTCTCCCCCTCTCACATGTTAATTACCCCCTCAACAATATCTCCGGTTAGCTAAGGCCACTGGCCAGAGAATCTCCTAAACAAACCCACAGAGAGCTTTCACTGAGGCAACAGGGAAAATAAGGACAAGTATTTGATCACATATTATGGACACAGACAGACAGACAGAGGATCCTCTTGGGTTTACAGGAGTGTTTTATATAAGATGTCAAACTGGTGCCACTCAAGACTTGATCGCTAATGAGAATATTAACGCTTTAACATGGACAGTTTTCAAGGAATCATTGAAATCAGTCCCAGCTTACAATGCAGCAGATGTTCCTCTTAAATGTACAGTTAAAACACTGACGGTGACTCTATGGGTAGATTTGCAGAGAGCTATCACTAAGCCATCTCTCTGTTGACACAGAACACAGTAGCTCTGCCCATCATCCCAATGAAGACATAGACAGACCAATTCTTTAGAAGTAGTCTTTCATGATTTCTCCCAGCTTTTCCATTATTTATGCCACTTCTCTTTGTTGTGTTTCACAAAAGACCAAAATCCAGTTTTACAGCCCTGGCATCATCGTTATTGTATCATTAGACATAAATAAACTATTTCTAAATCTCCCTGGTGACTGTCCTCTGCAGCGGAGGCAGCTAGGCCTGCTGGTGAATACATCTGGGAGACAAAGCTATCCGCTGAATATCAAGTAACGTCCCTCCTCGCCACCACACTGACAACACTGAGGAGACGACGCAAATGACATGAAAGCTGCAGCCGTGCGCCACTGAAAAGGCCATGCTGCAGTGTGTGTGTGTGCTTGCGTGTAGAGTGTGTGTGTCCGTAGTCGAATCAAAACCCTTTTAATTTCTACTGGACAGAGGTGACTTTATAATTCTAATAGCACTCTTTAAAAAGCTATCATCATAAAGAAACAATCTAGCCTATTCTTTACGGGAGGATAATTTATTCTCATTTGCATGAAGATTGAACAAACCAACAAATATAGCCTACATTTAATATAACTGGGCAGAAGGTAGGTTAAATAATCCAAATCAAATCAAATATGAAATGATTCTGAATTAGATACTAGATTAGATTTAAATAGAAGTCAAGTGTGACTCACACATTTCACACACACAATTTAATATTTCATTGATGTCTGCCAACTTCTCCCTTCTATTGGGAAATGTTACAGAAATGATTTCCTCTTGGGCAATTCATTTCTGCTGCACAAGACAACGGACGTGTTTCTCTGGGGCCTCTCTCTGTCAATAACAGACAAACTGTCTACAGAAATAATCAGAAAAACAGGTGTTCCCTTAAACAATCCCTCAAACCCCATTACTTACTAAACGTACATTTGAGGAAATTGAAAGCGAAACATGAATGAGACGACGGCAGAGACTATAATCACCTAAATTAAATCAAGTATTTTCTGGATTTAGGAGGCCAATCCTGTCTTAATGATCATAAATTAGAACTGGGTTTAGCTTGATTTTATAGGTAATTAACGTGCATGGCACAGTGGCGCTGGTATTCCAGGTGCTATAGAACCTCCATGTGAGCAGCTACATTAATTTGACTTTGCAGTGTGCAACTCATCTTGAGCCCCTGACAGCATGCGAAACGTGGCGGTACACACAATGCACACATCCCTAACAGCAGGCCGCAGATCCCATAGAAGCCATGCTAATGTACAGGAGAGGATTTATAAGAGAAATGGCTCTGCTTGAATCAAAGTCACGTTCTGCAGATATCACCCTTCACACAGTGCAGCTACCTGCCTGTTGTGCATGTCATGCCGCAAATAACAAGATATGCCCCTTCCTTCAGACAATTTGATGTGCTTATAAAACAGACCCATCTTTTTCTTAATGAAAACAAGTTGCAAAACCCACACACCTCCAAATGCCACTGATCACTGAAATGCCATGAGATCATTAGGTCTGGTGGTTACGGTGGGAAATGCCATGTCTGTGCTCCCTGCAACTGTGTGTGTGTGTGTGTGTGTGCAGCTAAGTTGGTCGGTGTGTATCTGTGTTGGTGTGTCGTCGGTCTCATTATCTGCCAACCCAGAGTAACAGATGGCTGACGCTAAACAGTGATAATCCCACAACAGAGTTATCAGCATGGATCAGCAGTATTCAGACTGCCGACGGACGGACGGACGGACACAATGTCTTCTCCAGCTAATGGAAGGTGCAGGGCTGCTAGAGATCTTGAGGAAGCATATAATACAGAATGCCTTGACCCCATTCAAAGTCAGCTAGAGAGCTGCTGCATGCTACCTCACTACACTACTAGCCTCTCACTGACTGCTCTCACCATGCACTCTGGTTCTGTCTCAAGTGGCACCCTATTCCCTATGTAGTGCACTACCGCAAAAAATACTGCAAAAATCGGAAGTGTCCATTTAAAGCATTTAAACCAATGATATGGTTACTCAGGGTTCTTCCAAAATAAGATTGTCGCTGTGCCACATTGCAGTCTGGCTGCACCACTAGGTAAAGATTTCACAGCAAGTGAAACTGATATTTAGTAATGATAGAGTAACTTTGATCGCCAATGACATGGTTGTGAATTGAGAAACAGGCCGTTTATAAATTCAGAGCATTATCATGTTCCTCAATTAATTCAGCGCATTTCAGCAGTAGTCCTAGGCTATCTCGACACAGAAACGCGCTCAGGACGCACCCCGAATAGGCCATAGCATTGTCGAATCATACAAACTTTGTAACGGTAGTCAAACAAAAGACAAATGACCAAAGTTGCTAAGCTTGCTAGATAACCTCCAACGAATGACAGAATATCTCCCATTTGGCAAAATCAAGTAGATGATTATACAGATAGCAGATCAGCTCATGAATAACGGGGAGATGAAGAGAGGAAATTGTTTAAATATCAACTCGGTTGAAAAAAAAAATCCATATCTACTCTCATACCGTTTGTTGATCACACATTCTCTACTGAAGCTCTCATATTGGCAGCAATATGAGACAGCGCAGAGAACGATATAGAGGTAGGCGAGACGTGCTTTGATAATGCAACCTATGGATTACAGAATAAAGTTAGGAATTTTCATGTCAGGATTTTGGGTTTCAGTGGGATTGGGACGATAGGAAAATAGCCTATGCTCTATATAAGGCTACTATATGAGTTAATAGGTAAATAATACACTTGATTTAGGCTACATTATTGCATGCTAAATGTTCCTGATCAGTGATAGATGAGCAAACAAATAAATGAGCTATCACTTCCACTTGTCCAGCCAGAGATCAATTAACCAAATATACAGACAGAGACTCAGTGAAACAAAATCACATTGCTTGATTCTCAGACAAGTCACAGGCTTTTGGTCGGGAGTAGGACAGGCTACTACGCGAGTGAAGAGCAAAATCCAGTTGTATAACATGCTAGAAAAATGTTCTGAACAGCTATATGAGCAAACTAGAATAAAGATGATCATTAGCACTCACCTCAACTTAGCTAACATTTCCCCAGCCTAATTGTTACCAAATATCAAAATGGAGATACAGTGAAAACAAAGATCAGACATTGATTGATTTACCTAGAGTCCCCCATGCTTGTCTCAAAGCAGCGCTATGGCGCTGTCCCAATCAAAACTGTGCTGAAATGATAATCTAGGTGACCACACACGACTATTGTTTTAAATTGAACAAAAATACAAATGCAACATGTAACGTGTTGGTCCCATGTTTCATTAGCTGAAATAAAAGATCCCAGAAATCTTCCATATGCACAAAAAGCTTATTTCTCTCCAATTTGTGCACACATTTGTTTACATCCCTGTTAGTGAGCATTTCTCCTTTGCCAAGATAATCCATCCACCTGACAGGTGTGGCATATCAAGAAGCTGATTAAACAGCATGATCATTACACAGGTGCACCTTGTGCTGGGGACATTAAAAGGCCAATCTAAAATGTGCAATTTTGTCACACAACACAATGCCACAGACGCTTCAAGATGGAGCATGCAATTGGCATGCTGACTGCAGGAATGTCCACCAGAGCTGTTGCCAGATAATTTAATGTTCATTTCTCTACCATAAGCGGTCTCCAACGTTGTTTTAGAGAATTTGGCACGACCAACAGGCCACACAACCGCAGACAACGTGAAACCATGCCAACCCAGGACCTCCAAATCCGGCTTCTTCACCTGTGGGATCGTCTGAGACCAGCCACCCGGACAACTGAGGAGTATTTCTGTCTGTAATAACGCCCTTTTTGTTTGGCTGGGCCTGGCTCCCCAGTGGGTGGGCCTATGCCCAGTTATGTGAAATCCATAGATTAGGGCCTAATGAATTTATTTCAATTGACTGATTTCCTTATATGAACTGTAACTCAGTAAAATCATTAAAATTGTTGCATGTTGCGTTTATATTTTTGTTCAGTATAACGGTTGCATATTACTTTGGGAGTTTCAGTATAAGCAAGAATGTGATACATGCCTTCAATTGCATTAGCCTACTTTGTTACAATATTTTCATCACTCAGTTGATCATAAATAAGGTGAGTGTTCCTCTCTCTCTGCTCTCTAAGCCTAATGGTTGTTTCCTCGTCTCCTCACTCCGCTGCCGCCCACCTCCACCGCGTTTTTCTCAACACCACTTTAAATCAATATAGCCTACTGTTTTGTAGAAATATGGCTTTTTTTGTGTGTTCGGCTCATTTAATTTCTGTAATGTCGGACCAGGCCTGGGCTCTGGCTTTCAGCTCACCGGGCTTGGATCGGACCGGGATAGAATTTTCAGTTCTGATGAGAACTCAACTGTATTCGGGTCTCGTGTGCCAATGATGCATGTGCTTTGAATTGATGGTGACTTTGTGTGAAGTAAATACACTAGGCTCAAGGCTTCCATGTGACAACCTGATTGGATAAGGTGCCATTTAATGTTT